AAAGGAAGATGACTTTTCCCCTCTTTGGCATGATTATATATATATATACAACATAAGTAAATTCTCCATGTTTTCTGCTTTACCTCTTCATCTTTTGTATGTATCTTTCAGAGCTACGTTGACAGTTTTGCCACGTGTACATACACAGACAGAAGACACCAATATATAAGTCATTTGTGTTGGAAAAATGTTCTGTGCAATTCATGTACAATTGCCTCTAGAATTATGAAAGTTTTATTTAGCTATTTTAAGGTTCTGACTTTGTTAGTTTTACTGTACAGTCCAAGAAAAATACTGTTGTTGAGAAAAAAAAAGCTATATTGTTTCACCTGTGTAAAGTTAAGTAAATGCTATGGACAGAATGTATATATCCATGTAGAACGCCATTGTCAAGATGGGTGCACTTCGACGAGTGCCATTCAAAATAAAAGCTAAATATTTGTCCATGAGTGTCACCTGTATGGTCATTCTTAAAGAAAAGCATGGGATCATTTGTGTAGACCATTTTGAGGGATGTAAACAAAACAATTCTCCCAATTAATTCTACAGCTTCCGAGAATCCAAAAAGAGCCACATATTGATAAATAATGTTATGATAGCTGTTTTAACATTAAGTTATGTGTGAATTGCCTCTTGTTACAGTTATAAAATAGTTTAGTAACAAGTAGGAAATGTTCATGTGCCAATGACCACATAGAAATGGTCTATAGTGTTATTGCTGCTGAAAACAGATGTATTATAAAAGTTGTTACCATTCATTTTAGTGTGTGTTTGATAAAAATGTCTCAAATGTAACTAATTTTAAGGCCGTAGTGCCATCTAGTGGTCTTTAAGTGCAAGTGCATGAATTGATTTATACAAAGCAGAGGTGTTAACATTGATCAAATGTTTTGATTTGGTTATTGTATCATTTATGATGTACATCAAAAAAAAAAAAAAAAAAACATTAATTAGGTTAGCATTTTTATGAAAGATAAACTCCTGCTGAAGGTAGCCAAAAAGTGAGGTAAGTTTGGGTTTTGGCCAGTGTGCGAATATGCATTGACGATTTAAATTGCATCTAATTTATAAATAAAATTTGTACAGTTTCAGTGTTTTGAGGGTCATTTAGAGACAGGTTTAGAGGTATGTGTCTAAATGTTCTTTTTATGCTACGTTTAGATATAAACACCTACTGTATTATACAAGAAACGTATTTTGTGAATACTTCAGATATCTGTGCTCTAGAACTGTCAGTTTCAGACTGTAATATTTTTCCCAGCATTGTTTGGCGCGATTATCCATGACACCGTCATTCACAATTTGACACCATCAAACGTATATATATATATATATATATATATATATATATATATATATATATATATATATATATGTGTGTATGTGTGTATGTATGTATGTATGTATGTATGTATGTATGTATAATTTTTAGTTATTAATATTTAAGATGTAGATCAGAGATCAAAGATCAGTCTTACTATTATTAAAGGGCTGACCCCCTACAATACATCGTGTTTTTGATGTCAGTCAGGAGGGTCAAATTCCCCTGTAATTCGCACCCTGGTTTTAACTAGAACCTGAAATATTAATGCAATGTTAATTGAGAAGAAAATCAAGCAAAATCATTGCGAAAACTGCTTAGAAGAGTCTATAAAAGTTAGTCACAAATTTATTATTCTTTAAATGTTCATTATGGCACAAAGTAGGATACATAGCGAATAAACTTTATATATTTTAATATTTTAAATATAAACTTTTAATAACTTTAAATATTGAGAGGAGACCAATAACAGTTTATTATCCATGTACATGTGAGAAAGAAGACCAATAGGAATGCAGTAAGCAAATGACGTCAAGACTGTCGGTTTGAAGTTTTGTCGAAGATTTCGTTGCAGATTGTCAGTCTAAAATTACTTTTTTATTGTGTACAGTTTACATTAATCGAAACTAGAGAACACACCAGAGGTCACTAGACAGGTAATATCTAACGTTTGAAATTTTGAGGATTTGTTCACATCAAACTCGTGTTTAACGTTAATGTCATTATTAAAGTCATTGCTGCTTCAGACGCCAAACAAAATCGGCTTCAACTATCAGATATTGGAAACGAACGACCCATGTCAGCTTTTCTGTTCATAACACGTGGTCATATTGCCATTTAAAGTAAAGTGATCACAGTTGCCATCACTCACTTCTTAAAACTGGTCAAATGCGTTTAAAACTAACTTACTCAACGACGCAGCCATTTGTTTACACACGTTTTGTGGAAAAGTGTAAGTAACATTAACAGTAAATGTTTTGAATTTATGCATAAAGTTGGACCGACTAACGTCAGTTGTTTAGTTAGAATTTACAGGTTTTTCCTATCAGTGTTGTATATTACACAGGCCTGTTGCCAGCCTGGTGAAAGTGGTGGCTCTTTTTGCAGTCACACTTCATTTAATATGTAACCATGAGGTTTAAATAGGGCATTTTTGTCTCATCTTAAGCGCTATTTTTAGCTGAATTAGCTTTTCAGATGTCATTTATTAGCCAAATAACAAACAGGCCAGCACATTCAGCTTTTCTTAGAATTTGGTCAATTGCATGAAAAAAAATTGAACATAATAATAATGTAGAGCTTGACGATTTTCTAGCATCTCTTGTAAAAAGGTACATTCGAAACTTCATGGAAAACAACTTTTCAGCCAAATTAGTATTCAAATTAATTTTATGGATGGCTTTTGGTGCTTTACAGTATTTTATTGGTTATTGATTGATTATTTCATTTTTGTTTCAAGAATAAGGTCCAAGATTTAGAATAAAAGTTACTTGTAATATATTTTCTCTATTTAAAACCAATACAGTAGTGAAAATGAATTAACTTACGTCAGATTGTATGTTTTCTTGCACAGCTGGATGTTAGACGCAGGGAAAAAAAATAGCATGCATTGGCCAAAATTGTTTAGCTGAAGTCACACTGAAGCAACAGCCAATAGAGGTTTCCATTTGGACTTAAAGCCTTTTTCAATGGGTTATTTTTTACTATTTATGATGGCATAGCAGTCAAAATAAGACAAACGAGCTTATGTAAAGAACAAATTCTGGACCTTTGTCAGTGCGGGGTGAGCCTTTCTAACCACCCAACCCCCTATGGCTACGGGCCTGTTATAACTTTTGCTAGAAGTGATTTTAATTATTTAAAAAATAGGTTAAACCTACTAGTTTGAAGGATATTGTGAAATATAAAGATTTAATATGGCAATTAATTAATATGTTTGGGCTGCCCTGATCCATAAATGGTGTTTAACCCTTTAACTGTCTGCACTGTTTTAAAAATGACTGTTAAAAAGAATTGTTTGCACAGCATTTTTGGTTTACAAAAAAAAAATCCAACAAAAAGTCCTGTTGCACTACTACACTTGATTTTGGTTTTATAGTAAAAAAAAAACAAAAGAAAAACAAGAAGGCATGTTAAATGAGAATCTGACATATTTTATGGAATACTTCAGAAAATAAAGATGTTTTGGTGTTCAATAATTTATTTTGATTGTTTTTAAATAAATAAGTCTTATACTTCATATTTTCTGACTTTTCATACTATATGTAATAATTCTGGTACTTTTTCCATAAACCGACATATCAATTTATTTGGTAGAGGCTGATATTTTAGCAATTATGGGATATGTAAAAAAATGCATTGATTGTGTTAACTAGCGACAGTAGTAGTTAAGAAATGCAATCCACTTTTTTTCCTTGGTGGGGCAGGTAAAGGGTTAATCAAGTGATCCTCTGTCTAAATATGCCTCAACATTTTTGGTATCAACTGTTAAATATTTTTGCTCGAATTTATTTTGGTTGAACAGCATATTTTTATGTGCAAAGAATAGGAAATAATTTAACTGCTTTACACTTTTATTATGTCGATATGTTTAAAACCTTATACTTTGCTGCTCTGGGGTAAACATAGGAAATTAATGTTGATAAGAATGACAATGTTTTTTTTTTCGTAAATCAGGGCTCGAAATTGTGACCGTTTTGGTCGCATATGTGCCTGAAATTTTTTTCTGTGCAACCTCAAAATATATTTTGGAGCATTTGTGCAAGTGCATAACATTTTTCACTGCAAAATGTTCACTGGATGCGCAGATTTAGGAAACAGTAACTCATAATGCATCTTTGCACCTAATAACGTGAAATTTTAACATTGACTGAATGATTGGCACACTGCTCTAGAACTGAACGCAAATGGATTGGTTGATATCAGCTGTCACTCATTCAGTCAATGCTATCCACCTTTAGGTGACGGGGGCTACAGCCGCAAAACTTTAAAGCGCTGAAGATGAGAGAATGAAAAGTACGCTGACAGATTTTGTTTTAGAAACCATCTAAAGGTACAAATAATGACACAGCAGATTAATGATACACTTTTCGACGAGTGGATGAGACTCCTAAAGCCATTCACTTTAACATCTGTGTGACGGAGTCTTCAGGTAACAGTGTTTGCAACTGAATCTACACATTTTGAGCGTGAGATGTTCTATTTAATCACCAGGATGATTTCAAATGCAATAAATCTGTTAATAAAACTTGTAGCAACGGTGCACATAATTCTTGGTGGGTGTCACAAAATTTTGGTTGGTGCAACCACATTTTTAAAGTTAGGAGCACCTTTTTTTAAAGATGTATTTGTTTATTTTTTAATTAGGTATAGAACACAAAATTTTGTATAGGTAGTTAGGTGCACCAGTGCTACTAAGCAAAAAGTTTACTTTGAGCCCTGTAAATCCTATCCATTGCATACTTGAGTACATAAACTATATGGCAAATTATGGGCTTGTGTATTTTTATTGCAATGGCAGTCATGAATGCATAAAATTTTAAGTTGCAAGTATGCTAATAAAAAGATGAGAGCACAAATTTGTGCAAAGAAATGAAAAATATACAGTTACTGATATCGTTTGTGAATAGCATTGCTTTATTGAGAGACACCAAAGCTAAATAAAAGCAAACTCATGTGATTTAAAGATTGCACAGTTTTTATTTCTAGTAGTACAGATTCAAATATCACTATCTGTATTAAAATCTACTTCTGTACAGTTTTGGCTCGGCATAAATTAATTGTTATATTATAAAATCCCTGTTAATGGCTGACATCTAACAACAGTAATAATACAAAATCTCTACTAAACAATACAACATCAGACAGTGATATGACAGTCATTATCACTATACATTGACTTCTATGTGTTTTCTCAGTAGTTTTCCTTAAAACTTTTGTTATGAATTTTTGATGGATTTTACTTTCGCCCTCAGCATTGACTGTAAACTCATCCTGCTGTTATGGCTTTCAGACTGCTGGTCCTCTTCATGATGTTTGGTACGAACAGCAGTCCTGACGCTCTCTCAATGCTCTCAATAGGAACCAGGAAGCGCTCCAGTGGAATCTTCTCATCGACCGGCATGTTGGGCATCACATAGGAGCGCAGCTCCACATCTCCTCTCGGCTTCTCCAGAATCACCACCTTAAAGAAGTGAGTCGGCACCGCTACATGATTCTTTCCCAAAACCTGATATTTCACGTACATCTTCCCATCAGCTTCCTGTCTGTAGGTGCAGAGAAAAAAAGATTTCACTTTTCATCCCTCAAAGATTTTCAAATGTTTTAAGATCTTGAGTTTTGAGATGCATTTGCTATTTTGAAATATCTAGAACTTCTAATATAAGGTTCTTGTGAACTGGAAGTAACGGTAGACTTCAGGCTCAAACACACCAGGACGCTTTACACTGAAAGTGAAACTCTGCTTGACTCGACTCGGCCTCTAAGTGGTGTTTACTGTAAATTTACCAGCTCCTGGCACATGAACAAAAGTGCCAGTCTCATTGGTGGATCAGTTTTTAAAGTGGTCCATCAAAAAAAACTAGCATGAAACAGTTTCTTTAATGATTGTTTTACAGCTACCGTTTTGCACATTGATGTACACAACACATTGGCGCCCTTTGTTTATTGACAAAGGGCCCTATTATACACCTGCTGCAATAAGGCACAAGACGTGTTTGACATAATTTGTTGCCATCAGATCAGATTTCAGATTTTAAGCCACTTTGTGGACTCATGGGCATGGTGGTCTAAAAAAGAGGTGTGTTAAGGCACATTGTTGCCGTTTTGAGGTACTGAAATAGACTGCGCTATTGACCAACTGAAATTTGGTCTAAAGTGACGTGCAGAGCGCGTTAGTTATGCGCCTGTGTGGGTCCAAACGCTTAGACATTGCTTAATACACACGTGATGTAAAACAATAGACAAATATTTTTACATATGAAAAAAATTTAAGTATTAAAATGTTACAATTATTATTTTCAACATAAATCTAAAAACTACTACCTCCATGCCTCGCTTACTCGTGACAATTTGCATTCGTATAATGTTGTTATTGATTATTATTTTTAGCACTGTTATTTATTATATGCATATTTATATTTTTTTTTATAAAAAAAAGTTTAGATTTGTCCACCTGTTGGGCTTTTGGAGATGTATGGGGCATAAGAATACAACTGTGTTTGGATATAACTCTTATAATATTATAATATAATTTATAATAAATTTTCATTTATTTGTTTGCTGGAAATTAGAACTGAATTTAGAAATAGATTTGAAACAAATCGTTGTGCCTAACAAATGACATTAAATATGTAAGCTAATGAATGCCTTCCATACAACACCATTTACTTATCCACTAAAGTAAAAGAGTAAAGTAAAGAGTAAAAGAGAAAGGTAAAGAGGCTCATTCTTTATCCTCGCGCTGCAGATGGTCTGTTTAACTGTCTTCTCACTAGTGAAGCATTCATTTTTTCCACTTACAAAGTCCGCCATGTTGAGTAAATAGCAAATACAACATGATGTGACCCAGCTGACTCTTAAAGGGAATGGGAGATGAGACTCGGATTGGTTTAATGCATGTTATATTCAAAACACAGCCATAACTCATTAAGAGAATAAGCTCAACCCTGTTAGACCATGTGCCAGAGCGCAGAACGGATTTTTCCATCCTTAAAATAGCAAAAATGGATTCGGACATGCCCTTAACGCTTTTTTCTTCTTTAATGATGTAACATGCAGGCAGTGCATATTGTAGAGCACACTAGAACAGTTTTACCGTGGTAAGTAGAGTGGTCCAGTGCATACAAAGACATTCTGGTAATGCTTGGTGAGAGAGCGACAATACTTCTCCAAGTTATTCCAGGCATTCTGGTTAAGATTAGGATTCTGAGCAGAAAGACAAAAGAAAAATTATTAGACAGTGTATACATTTCATTTCATACAAAAGAGGCTTTTAAATATTTATATTAATTCATTTTTGTTTAACAGTTGTTTGTATGTCTGATGTGCACACACAATAGGTTGCCAGCATTGTCTAAACAGTCTAACATTTTATTCTGTTTTAATGATACTATTCAACATTTTTTTTCTTATTGATCTAATTTGAAAAGAGATAAGTACATCTTGCTTGTAAAAATTGTATGTCATGACTACCTTAATATTGCTGCTAAAAAGTAATAATAATAATGATTTTTAAAAATGTACTACTAATTATTGAGGTATAGGTTTATTTATCGACTGGAGAATTCTCATTAAAGCATTCTAATGTTGTGGACAAATCCTAGGCTGACTGATGTGCGTTATCAGTCACCTTTGAGGACATTTTGGCATAACTGTCTTTTTTAATGTATATTTTTTTGGGTTGTATTGTTCTGTTCGTCTTCTGCTGCTAATGGACCTAGTGTCTGGAAATAAAGTTTTAGATATACAGTATATCGATAGATAATATATATATATATATATATATATATATATATATATATATATATATATATATATATATATATTTATAGAGAGAGAGAGAGAGAGAGAGAGAGAGAGATGTTAGCAGTAAGATTTTCCCTGTTATACAACAATGCATTTAATTGAATTATACACATAGACATCACCTTTTTGGAAAGGACACTATATTGAGGTAAAGTTGTTTTTACATTCACACATTCTTGTATTTTTTTAACAGTGACAACTCGTGACAAGGTCTCTATATTCTTAATTACGCTACTTTGAATATTCGTTCTGAAATGGCATGTAAATATGACTTCAAAACAACATTAGCTCTATTTTCATTGACTGTGATCAATGTTGTAATTTGATAGTCATTGGCTGCTAGTATGATTTCACTATTTACCATTTGCAAGGAATACTTTTCTGGAAATTTTATTATTAATGAGAAAGTCTTAATTATAGGTCCATTAAATTATAACATTATAAATGTGCCAATATATAACCAACTTTACCCCAATACACTACATTGTATATCTGCTGCTTATTTTTATATACTGTTCTGATATTGACTGTAATGTAATAACGTGCACCTTTTGGAACGGTAAATATTGTGAAAAGCGCTATACAAATAAACTTGAAATGAATTGTTATAAGGTAGGATCAGCTCCAGTTCACCTGTGGAGACACATTGCTCAGGTAAAATGTTTCATCCATGGCTTTCTGGCTCCACTTGTGATTGGCTGCTGCTGCCAAGTGACCCCTGTCAAATCCACTCCCCTTATAATCCGCATTGCTGGACCTGTGGTAAACATGAACCGACTCGTCCTCTTTGAACTCGCAGTACTTTCTGTCCGAGCTTCCGGTGACCGTCTCTGCGTTCAGCTGCTCGATGACCCAGGCTGCCGTCCTGTTTCTAGGGTCGTAGGAGGTCACGTAAGACTCTCTGCTTTTGATGTTGGACAGGGAAGGAAAGCCGTATTTCATCGCAGCTGTAGACCGGTTTACAGAGACCTGTCCCGGCTGGTACGGGCTGATCTCTGACGCCGCGTCGACGCTTGGTATCGGGATGACCGGCACGCGATCCAGCAAACTCGCTTTCCTGTTGTTATTACGCCTGTCACCCGCTGCTGTCAGTGTGGCACCGATGCCAATGCCAGCTGTCAGTGACAAACCGGGTAAAACCCACCGCGAGCAGAAAACGCGATACATCGTTTACGGGCAATAAATATGTTAAGATAAAGTGGACGTGCTGTAGTTATTCCGATATTTTTTACATGACCCATGTGAGTTTGTCCTACCGGCTAAACTAGCGCGTAGGACGTATCGTCGCATGTATATGACGTCACGGGCTTTCTTAAAAAGACAACACCACTTTGGTACATTCCTAACTTCAATTTGTATCTTCTGTAACTCAATCATCGGCTCAATTTATCGTCTTTTTGTAAAATGGCCACATGTTAATATGTTTTGGTCTGATTTGTCCGTCTATTTTTCATCAAAATGTAAGTTTAACATTGATTTTTTCCATATGTAATATAATTTGTTCTTTTCTCATGACAAACATAACAGAATTTATAGGCAATTTATTTATTTTATTGGGTAAATATGTATTCACAAATGTACATTTTCTTCATCATTACCCAAGTTGCAGAATTTTCTTTGCGACTTAAATTGTTTAATTACTACTTTACAAAATGTTTACAGCAAAAAAGTGTTAAAACTGTGAAGTTTTTAAGGACTTTGTAAATATTGTTTAATTTGATAATTTGCCTCTGTACTCTGTTTTTTATTTTTTTACTTATTTATGATTGTAATTTATGTCATCCATTATTATGATTAATATGTTTGTATTGTTAAAACACAATGGAAGAAAAAACACTTTGAAACATAAAACTGATATATCAGAGAACTACATTATTAACTTTTTTATTTTGTATGGAAAATATTTTATTCCCAAGCAAAAATTCTCCAATTCGCAGCCTTCCTTTTTACATTTTTTTAATAAAAATGTATGTATTTATTAAACCTCTTAGACTGATTAATAACAAGAAAAGGGTTCGATTCTTGTATTATTATGATAATTATTTTGGAAATATCGTGGATACAAAAGTCCTTCTTTCCTATTGCTGTATTTGTGTTATGTATGTAAAAAAAATTTCGTTTACTTTTTCTCTCTTTTGTTTCTCTTTTTATTTAATTTTTTATATGCGTTTATATTATTAAACCTGATCTGTTATTATCATTGTTACTATCATTGTGGTTTTTTTATGTGTAAAATTGAATTTTGTATGTTTGTTATTAAAGTCAATAAAAAAAAAAAAAACACTTTGAAGCATCAAATTGCTCCAAGAGGGAAATCATATTGGTCAGCGTTAATGGAAGATATTGATTGGAACATGCTTCTCCCATATAAATATTAAATCCCAAACAAAGCAAAGGAAATCCATTTTAAAATTCTACACAAAATATTAACAAATTAAATTCTACACAAAATATAAAAAAAAAATTGTTCTTTCTATCAGGAAAATGAGGAAAGTTTGACTCACATGTTTTTTGCATGTAAAATCTCACAAAAGTTTTGGTCAGATCTATATAATTATTTGAATAAATCACAATCAACAAAACGAATCTTTAAATTGAAAGAAATTATTTGTTATTATTGTCCCAACTATAAAAATGAAGAATATATATGTAACTCTTTTATATTACATGCCAAATTCTTTATCCACAAAAAATAATGTCTTAAATCCTCTCTCTCATTTGCCCATTTTTTAATTGAAATTGATTCCTTGCTTAAAGCTATACGTTTATCTAACAACAAAAGATTCTGCAAGCTAATAGAAACGTATGAAAATATCATGCTTCCACTAAGTTAGTCTTCATGCTTTCTGTTTTTTTTTTTTAATTTTGCACTTCCCCTTTCTTTATTTTGTTCTATTTTTTCTCTCTTTCTATTTCTTATTGTTACTTATTGTTCGGATCACTTTGTAATTGTATGTACTTGTGTTCCAGTCTACTACAGATTACTTTCTGATTTATATTGTGCATTTCTTTTTTTCTAAATAAAAGTTTATTAAAAAAAAAAAAACATTTTGAAACATTCTTTTGTGTGAAAACATACTTTTGGAGTAGCTTAAATCTTCATATAAAAAAATTACAGTTTCTTCCAGTCCCTTTCAACTACAAGATAATATTTGTTACTATAAATGTATACCATGCAATATACCAGAGAACAAAATTATTGACTTTTTTTTATTTTGTATAGAAAATATTTTATTCGCAAACAAAAATTTGAGTTTGCAGCCTTTTTAAAATTGATGTATTTATTCAATCGTATTATTATTAATATTATTATCATTATTATAATTATTATTGTTATTGGAATATTTGATCAACTGCCACTATAGGCAAAACCTCAAAAAGGCTATAATTATGTCCCAGTTTGCATAACTGTTCTTTGCAATTATAAAAATAAATAAGCGCACGCATGCAAGGTGAGTCTCAATTTTTTCTGTTCATTTCTCCCTCACAAACTTTCATTTTATATGTGCGTACAAAATATAATAATAAATAATAATAGACATGTTGCATGTTTATTAGGGTAGGCTATGACATGCAGGGAATAGATAGCCTGCAGAATGAAGAAATGTATGCGCAATATGTCCATTTAAATCTCTCCATTTGTTGCAATGGCTGCTCTGTGTTTGCCTAGAAGACCCACTCTTTCTTTTAGGTTATGAAACTTTATAGAAGTAGGCTTAATAATTTTTTAATTTAACAAATTCTATCCCAATCACAGAAACAAATATCTAAAAACACAGTTTAAAATGTTTATTCACTTTGGTTTATGTAGATTGGTTAAAAACAAGAAAAGTGATAGATTCTTGGAATATCGCGATAATTATTTTAGAAATAGCACAGATACATAAGTCTTCTTGCTGTATTTGTGTTTATTTATTTTTGTTTGTTTACTTTTTTCTTCCTGTTTTATTGTTTTTTATATATTTATAATATCATTTAACCTGCTTTAAGTTGTTTTATCAGTTATATTATTACTGTCTTCTTTTGTGAAAGTTCGAATTTGTGTGTTTGGTATTGGAACATCAATTAAAATAATAATAAACAAATAAATAAAAACATTTTGAAATTAGAAAATGACTGTCATTCAGTTAGGCCTGTCACAATAATCTAAATATTCCCTCAATCATTTTTGGGGATGCAATATATATTGTCCATACTTAAAAAAAACAATTCTAGCAACATTTTAGCTGATCGTGCATCTCTCTTTATTGAAGGTGACAGCATCAGTATGTTGAAAAAAAAAAAACGCTATAGTATTTACCATAAATTACTATAGCATATTTTCATGTGGGGCCCTGAGAACTGAAAATAGATCTGGTAGCAGATTTTGCAGCCTCTGTTACTCCTTGGTATTGGATTGTGGTGCATTTATATGGTCATTCTGGCATTATATAATGAGGGGCATAAAATGGTCTTAAAAGGACGATAATTATTAAAAATGATTGCAATATATTTTGGTGCAATATATCGTACAACAAGGATAGATATCATGACAGGCCTACAGTCAGTCCTTTTATGTTTGTAGATCAATTTGATGTCAACACCCTTCTGAATAATATAATATTGCATTGTTAATTTTTTTCATTAAAGTTTTTATCATCTTTAATATTATGAAACTGACAAATACCTTTTCCTTCTAATAGAAATGATTCAATTAAATAAACAGATTTTGAAATGTTTCCATGAATTAATTGTTAAATACGTAATATGATTTCTCTGTATTCTCAGTTACATTCAAAGATTTGTAATGTTATTTTAGAATCATTAAAATAAACAATTATGGTTTTTTATTTCAGATACTACACTGCAAGAGTAAAATTCAGTCATTGTTTTTGTCTTCTTTACCAGTACATATATCTAAACACTTTTAAATAGAAATCCTGAAATCTGCCAGATGAGTTAAAAAAATAATCGTATATTCACTTTAAATGAGGTATATATTTATTTTATTTTAAAAGCATAAATTCAGATTTATTTAAGTAAATGTGTCTTCATTTAAGAAATATAAAATATCTGTACTACCAAAATACTCTATAAGTTCTGTAAAGACAGCAGTTTTATTTATTGTATATGAAAAAAACAAGAGCTTACTGTATTTAAAATGTTATATGATATTATTTAATATAATATTTTATATAATATAAATCCTTACTTAGTTGTTGTTTTTTAAATTAGTATTTTTAAGTAATTTAATTATTTCAGACTTTATTTTTATTTTTTTTATCATGTTCATGTCTTTTCATGTGTTCATGTGTTAATGCAGAGCTGTAAACTTGTCTGCTGTAAACAAAGTTGAAGTGTTTATGGTATAGACGAATTACCATGTTTGTAAGCATTCAGGATGTATGCGCAGTGGGGTTGCAGAAAAGAAAATGGGAGTGCTAGCATTTACAGTGAGGGAATGACATTCAGTGCGGTAAAGAGTTTGTTGTTGTATTAGAGATCAGTTATATTGGTGACATATTATATATATTATTTACATAATGCTTTCATCGTATTGTAACAGCTTCTCACCCAGTGATAAGCACAATTATTCGGCAAAATTAACGTTACAGTGAGCGGCGTTCGTCTGACAGGTCCATTTGCGATAGCATCCTCCCAATGGAATTTTTATAAGACGAAATGGCCAAGCATCCAGCCCCAAATATACAACCATCTCATTGAAACTCCACGTGATTTTGCAAGAGAGACGTTAAAGGCCTACAAGTCTTTGGATGACAACAATTTTGTTCAGTGTGGTCATGTGCAAGAAATGTTCCATGACTATCAGACTTAACACTATGTAGTGCTAAAAACTGAGGTTCATCCTAGCCAAAGACAAGGAAAGAAGACAGAACTGTACAAGGCCTGGGTAATCATCAACAAGCAAAACAACTGCATTCTGACAGCTAACTGCACCTGTACGGCAGCGTATGTGAACTTACATTTTTACATTTCATTCTTAGCATTCAGTGTCCGCAGTTTAATTCACCATACTTAACTGTTTTTGCTGAAATCATTGCTGCAATCAAAAACGTGTAATCTGTATGATTCAGCAAAGCGTGAACTTACCTGATATAAAATGAGAACTGCAGAGTCGAGCATTTTTAATTAGGTCCTCACTCCATTCAGCTGCCTTTTTGCTAAAGATGTCTGCTGTTGGCATTAATAGCAGTGTGTTGTACAGTAAAAGTTACGTTTTCTATGTTTGGAATTTGGTATCCTACCATGCAACACGACATGTTTGTTATTGCAACTGGTCTCTTTTTACAACTGGGAACCCGTGTGACGTAGGTTGGTAATTCCTTTATTGGATTATGTGAATGACCCTATGTCATGCAATAACTGTAATTTCCATTGCTAAGTTCGTGTTATTGTTTAACTCATGTTTGGATACAGAACCTTATTTGTTTGTTTCCAGAAAGCAAAAGTTTCCACCTGGCATAAGTTCTGCTGACTCAATGTGTGTGTTATTAAGGAGTCATATTTTTATTTCGATGCAGGTGGTAAAAAGCAATGCAAATGGCTCAGCATATTTGATTCTGGGTCTGTAGAAATATATGCAGCTGATTCACCTTGTGAAAGTTTCCAAGGAATAAACCTGGCCTAATATTAATTCCCACTGTGACTGCTGTGTCAGTGTAATAAATATTGATGCATATAAAAGGACAGAGCCTAAAGAAAGACAATTCACTCATGTCTCTGTGCTTTCTGATTGTCAGGTTTTATTCATTTATAATATTCAGTCATGTTTTATTTACCCTGGCTCGTTATAAATGTAAAGCATTTTGTAAAGATGAAATACATTAAAAAAAAATTTTTAAAAAGCCCATGAGCCGCTAAAGATTTTGGCATTTCTTTGAGACTCACGTGAGAAAGGAAAGTAAAAAGTTATCTGATTGCATGATATATAATGTGCTGACTTTTAATATGGATTTTGAATCGTTCGTTTCAATTGCATTGATCGATAGTGTGCTTTTATGTGCTTGTTAGTCATATTTATTGGGGGTTTGTGGGACTTTGTGCTTTAGGTATCATCATCATACCTGTAGAAGTGTGATAATAAGCAGTCCTGAATGGCCATATCTGCACAGATGAATAATACATGCCAGTTTTAAGATGATGTGCGCGTTACATTGAGCTAAAGCTGTGAATGAACCGTTGTATGCTTTGATGTGAATGAAGAAATATTCCAAATATATTAGAGATGCACTCTGCTGTATCATCAAATATAGTTTTACCATGGTGTGAATACCGTATGCACCGCAATAAAGGCTGCAATGTCTTTACAATGGTAACATTTACTTCCGAACAAAAATAACAATTTCTACAAAAAAATAGTGAAATAATGATCATATTATACAATACTTTGTTTTCCTTTCAGATAGACTGATATATATATATATATATATTTGTTCAATTAGACAATTTTAAAATCTCTCTTCTCTACATTCCAGAAACATAATCTCAAACACAAGCTAAAGAGACATTCGTTCCTCGTACTAACAGGACACTGATTAAACACCTTTTCCATCAGTTTTCATCTACGTATTACAACCTCAATGGCAATAAAATGCAAGAAAAAAATGCAGCAATGAAAGGAAATGTAAAAAGTCTTCAAGAGAAGAAGAGTAACTTGGCATTAGTAGGCTTCCGTGATATCAACCGTCGGCTAAAACAAGCTGGCTAAGTGCAGTGCTTGTATCTCAGTGAGCGTCGAAACTACAGAGAAAGTAGAAATGCAAAGGAAATGAAACCTCATCTATAGATTTCTTCGCTTTCTTCTAGAGTCTTTGTGTAGAGTGAGCTGAAACGGAACATGTCTTTATTCTGTTTTTTGGTATGAAGTTCAGGCGATCGGTGATGCTAAGAGACGAGCGATTCGCTTTTCGTCTCACCAAGGCTTTTTTGACTTCAGCTGAACCACCCGCCTTTCCAAAAAAGATGTCAGCACCTTGAGGCTGGTTCCGTACGGGGTTCAGGCCACTCTTTCTCTCTCTTTTTCTTTCTCTCTCCGTCCGCAGGGTTCAGCCCTTTGGCCTGCGTAGAGTAGACTAGGATTGATATCAGGACTAAGATGGGCTTCTAGGCGCTGGCTTTAAGCAGGCTGTTGGCTAAAAGGCAGAGCAGCAGCGTCAGTGTGCTGAGGTAGCAGGCCGATGCGCCGTCGATGCACCCTTTCTCACCCTGGCAGCGCGGCTGCTCACACAAAACACCCCGGAAGTTGGGCGGACACACACACTTCTGATTCTGAATGCAGGAGCCGCCATTCTGACACAAGAGGAACTCGTCGTCGCACACGTTTGCTGGTGGCACAAGAAGGACAGAGAAAAATTCTCATTAATGTTACACATACAGCTAAAGTCAAAATTATTAGCTCTCCTGTGACATTTTTTATTTTATTTTTTTCCGTTTTCAAATATTACCCAAATGATGTTTAACAGAGCAAACAATTTTTCACAATATTTTCACAGTACGGCTACTATAAAAGCAGTTTTAAGGTCATTATTATTAGCCTTAAGCAATATTTTTTGTCAATTGTCTACAGAAGAAGCCACTGTTATACAATGACTTGCCTAGTTACCCTTACTTGCCTAATTAACCTAGTTAAGTTCTTTAAATGTCACTTTAAGCTGAATACTAGTATCTTGAAAACTATCTGGTAAAATATTATGTATCATGGCAAAGATAAAAGAAATCGATTATTAAAAATAAGTTATTAAACTTTTGCTTTTAGAAATGTATTGAAACAAATCTTCTCTGACCCCTATCCAAATTCTGTTAAACAGAAAAAATATACAAGAGGCCTAATAATCCAGGAGGGCTAACAATTCTTACTTTAAAAAAGCACTTGACTTGATTATGGCACTGTCACTCTGAAAGCTCTACAGTTATTATTTGTTATCATGGCTATTCGAGAGGAGTCTGGCTGCAGACCTGGTGCAGTGCAATCTGAGCTGCATCCAATGCATTTTTAATCCGCTCACCTAACCCCACCCCTAACCCTACCCGTCACATTGACGTCACTCACTCCATTGAGTGCATTGTGTCTGAGATTGCATTGCTGAGTGGTGCAATCTCAGCTTGCATCATATAGGCTGCATCCCGATACTATTGGGCTATTCTGCAATGTCAAAACAAGTAATTTATTAGCTGATTCGCTTCTATTAGAAGATAATTATGAGGAGAATCTGTGAACCATTCAAATCCCGGGTTCCTGGTTTTGCTGTAATGATATAAATTTGCAGATGTCTAGCAATCTTTTGAAATCTGGATCTTTCAGTCCCATATAAAATGTTACTAGTGATGCATGATACCGTATAGATGATGTTCTATCATGTCTAGATACTGTATCACAAATGACAGATAAATAGATATATAGATAGATAGATAGATAGATAGATAGATAGATAGATAGATAGATAGATAGATAGATAGATAGATAGATAGATAGATAGATAGATAGATAGATAGATAGATAGATAGAACACCATTTACTTTTTCAGATATATTAGTTTAAAACGTTTATCTAAAACAGTGTTTCTCAACCACATCCTGGAGGACCACCAGCTCTGCACATTTCCAGGTCTCCTTAACCAAGCATACCTGATTTAGATGATCAGCTCATTAGCAGAGACTGAAGCTGCATTCGAAATCGCATACTTCCAAACTATATAGTAAGCTAAAAAAAAGTATGCGAACCAAATACTATGTCCAAACTCATAGAATTCGAAAAACAGTATGCGAGAAGTACCCAGATGACCTACTACTTTAGGCGAGATTCTAAAGTGAGCTTCAGACGGACGCTACACTATCCCATGATGTCCTGTGAGAGAATTCATGAATGGGAGTGAAGCGAAGCAACTGACAAAATGCGGATGTAGTACATCTGAGTTCCATTCATACTACTGACATTCCTACTGTAAAGAACGTACTTTTCTAACGGTCGAGTAGTAAATTCAAGTCCAATTTTGGTATCTATTAAGTAGGCGATTTCGGATGCAGCATAATGGGAATAACAGAAAAAGAAGACATCGAAAACATGCAGTGTTGGTGGGGCTTCAGGAACATGGTTGAGAAACACTGATCTAAAGCAAGGTGACTTACGAACCAGGAGGTGTCACTAACAAGTGTATTTGTAAACCATAATTCATTGTTTGTGATAAGCTGTTGTAAATTACAGTGTTGGATTAGTCTAACTATTTAGGGCCAAATCCGAGAAAAGACCAAAAAACAGCAAACGCCTTACCTATATCTCTACTTCAGCCACTGTATCATCCCACCCACACGCATCTACAGTATAATCTACAACTGCTGCTACTGCTAGTACAACAGCAAAGACCTCTGTGAGCAACAACAATGCGGCCCATATGTTTGAGACAAATAACAGCCATATGTTCTTCATTCACAACGTTTTATTTGTCGTACGAGCGCTATCATCTTCCGCAGAATGTGTTTTTAATGACTAAGCCTGTGTTGAATGCTTTTGTGAGAGAAGTGTGACTTACGCACGCAGCCTTGCTTCCAGGTATATCCAGGCAGACAGTCCTCACACTTCTGGCCCGCGGTGCCGTCTCGACACTGGCAGAAGCCTGTGTCATTGCAGCGGGCGTGTATGGAGCCCAGCTGATTACAGTTACACTCTGCGTATACAAAATATACATACATTATACACCAACTAGGGATCATGTGCTGAAACCTTTAAAAGAAGGGCAATAGTCATAAGAGCTTCTTAATACTAAAATAGGCTTTTTTTCATAGAAACCGACATATATTTCTTTGTCTGACATCACAATTCCCTCTTTTTTTGTTTTCCTAACATATTTTTTCAGGTACTGACAGACAGTGTTAGGGAAAATTACTTTTAAAAGTAATGCATTACAATATTGAGTTAATCCCCAAAAAGTAACTAGCTGTGTTACTTGGTTATTTTTATAACAGAGACTAACCATGTTTCGTACACTTTTTGCTGTTCAGCAATCAGCATGCATGTTTGTGTGTTCATTCTCTGGGTGAATACCTATTGTACAATCCAAATATTGATTGTCTTTTGGACTATTTTGAGAAAAGATGGAAAAAAGTACAGCTACATGTGTACGAAAGATGATAGGTATTATTGATGTTCATACTCTATTATAATAGTGTTCCGTACAGGCCGCATAACTTCAGTTCACTGTCAACAATGGACATTGTTTTAAGACTTATTAAAAACGTAAGTCAGAATATACTATTATTGTTTTAAACTTAACGTTAATGTTATATTTAATACATTTTATTAAAGTTTGAAACTCTACAATCATTTAATTTTTATTTTAATACAGCATGGCAATTTTAAATATTAAAACATTAAATTTCTGCAAATTAACGCTAACTTGACTGACCTATTATGAATATAAGCATCCTCACTTTACATATATTATCCAAACAGTGTTTGCAGCCTGTCTCCCATGCTCTCCTGCGGAGAGTTGCGCCATGTGGTCATCAGCCACAACTGAAGTTTAAATATCCCCATTTCAAAGCATTAATTCAACAAAAGATCATTTTTGTACCAGTTTGTTATTACATAATATTTATGTACTGTAATACTGTGTGATGCACAAATTAAATGCAAATGCATATTGTCGTTGTTTTAAATGTTTCCCTTCCCAAGCGCCACTCGCCCCTTTACCTTGCCCACTGTCTATTTTGAAGCGCATTAGGTGAACTTAGCAAACTTACTGAATTTTCTCAGAAACATATGGTAGGAGGGTCCCTGTTGTGCTCGGGGGTTAAGAAGTGAGAAGTAAAGATTACACAAATATATAGCTTTTCTACAGCCCGTAAGTATTCATAGATTGGCGGTAAAAGATAATCTGTATGGAACATAGTTGTGTACAGAATATGGTAAGCCTACATTCATGCATTACGTTACTTTCGAGTTTTGTTATTTTAACATAACTTTTCCTCACTTGGCTGAGGCTTGATCTCTCAGAGCTTGCAGGTCTTTTTTTTGTTATTGTTATTTTATCGTTGTAATTACAGGGTTTCCGCTGGGAAGTTTTAGGGCTCTATTTTGACGATCCATGCACAAAGTCCAAAGCGCAGGGCGCAAATGCATTATGGACGTGTCAGAATCCACTTTTGCTATTTTAAGGAGGGAAAAATCTACCTTTCGGTTGAGCTTATTCTCTTAATGAGTTATATGTGTGTTTTGAGATTAAACCGATCAGAGTCTCATCTCCCATTCCCTTTAGGAGTCAGTTGCTTATGCCATATGCGCATTTGCTATTTACAATGTGGACTTTGTAAGTGTAAACTGAGCGTTTCACTAGTAAGAAAACAGTTAAACAGAGCGTCTGCAGCGTGAGAATGAGAGATGAGCCACCTCATTCTGTACTTTCACTCTCGTGGATAGGAAAACTTGTATGCAGGCATCCATTAGCCAATAAATAATTAATTTAGTGTGTTAAGCGCAAAGATTTGTTTCAAAATTATGTCTAAATTAAATTATAGATTCCAGCAAATGAATAAATGAACAATAATAACGAAGTGTGTTCAAAAAACTGAGTTGTATTCTAATACACATGCTGTGCCCCATATGGTACAAAACCTGACAAGTGGGCAAATCTAAGCTAGTTTTTAATAAAACAAATATAAATATGCATATAATAAATAATACAGCTAATAATAATAACATTATACAAAAGCAAATTGTCATGAATAAACTAAAAAAGCCCCCCGAGATGAAGAAGGCATGAAAGTATGGTTTTTATATGTATGTAGGCTAGAAAATAATATGTTTTGTAATATTTTAATCCTTTAATTCTTTTTTATTGGTAAATATATTTGTGTATTGCTGTACATCTTGTGTGTATTAAGTAATGTGTAAGCACAACTACTCTGCTCTGCATTGGACTAGTTAGACTGATTAGACTGGTTTTTATCTGGTCTATTAAACGGTCTACTATAGTTCCCCAAAATAGCAACGCGCCAGCAATGCGCCTCAACACGCCTCCTTCTTTAGACCAGAACGCCTATGGGTGCACATATGAGTGCAAATGCATTTGCTATTTAAACAGCGTGGTGCAAAACGTCAAAACAACTCTTGCGGCATGATGAAAATAGCAAACAATTGCGTCGCGCCTTGCACCACATTGCGCCGGGTGTATGATAGGGCCCTTAATGTCTTAAATTTCAAAATCCAAATTTTACGCCTTGAAAAGCCTTAAATTTACTGAAATATTGTCTCATAGGTCTAAAATCATTTTAAACGGGTCTTAATTTTCTTTTGTCTATGTAAAGCTACCTAATCGATCCAACACATATCCAATCACCAACATAAATAAAACTGTTAGAACAGTCTGTTGTGCATTTAATTTTTAAAGAGTTTTTTATGTTGATAATGTTTAATTGGTATGTTGCAAAAAATATATGTATAACCTAGTATAACTAGGGTTTGCTTGTTTTGCCATATTTAAAATATGTGGCAATGAAATAATTAGAATTAGTTTTTTGATAGTGCAATACTTTTTTCTTATGGGCCATTAGAAAATCTTTAGCATTTAGCCCTATTTAGGTCTGAAATGTCATTCTTCATTGTCTTAAAAAGTCTTAGATTTGACTTTGTGAAACCAGCAGAAACCCTGAATTAACAGCACACTGTATAACCTGCACATTCATTTACTTAAAAAAAAAACACATACACATCAAAAAAATTACAATTTAGGATACTGTTCTTATTATAAATTGTCTTATTAGTTCAGTAAAATGACCTTTTCTTTTCTTCAATGCATTTAAATTGATGAGAATACTTTTATGGCAGAAATGTAAGGCTCTGGACAGCGCATTCTCTCCTTAAGAAGAGAGAGAGTTCTCATAACTCGCATTACATTTTTTTAACTCAAATATTGTTACTTAATTTTAGTCATGTGTTACTTTACTCACTTAGAAAAGTAATATTGTTATGTAACTAATGCGCTACCCCCAACACTGCTGACAGATACAGTAAATTCTACTTTTTTAACTTGGTAAATACACTAAAATATCTTGCTGTCTAATTTTTTTAGTTGAATTAAAGGAAAGTTATAATCAAGCTGACCAAAAATAAACTTAAAACTTTAACTAGTTAAACTTTGTATAACTAAAATGATTTAGTTGATGCCTGTATAACTAATTAATATTAGTTATAATAATATAAAAAAATTTGTTTTCATGACTTTTTGTGATATTTTTACAGTGCAGTTTTATTTGTTACATTTTGAAAGGAGAAAAAGCAAAAAATAAAAGCATTTAATGTTGACTCTAAATCAGATTATGCGCACAAATGAAAATTTTACTTATTTAAAAACTTTCGTTTATTTGCCTTGAAATTGAAAAAGGCTATGGTTCTGATAAAGATGTTCTTTCTTTTGCAATAGAGTGATTGAATTTTAACTTTCAGGATGTAAACGTTGGAAAAACACCTTGGTTTGTTCTTATTAACATAACTCTTTTGTATATTTTGCATGGGGAAAGCTAGAAAGTATTCCTGACAAAGTTTCTGATGGGCCTGTAAAATTATATTGGGCTCAACAGCAAACTGCAGCTAAGCGCAGGATGCAACATCTTGGTTTTTATAGGCTTAAAAGCATGGCAGCAAAAAATGGCCTGTTTAAATCTATGCTCCAAATAAAACATTATTAGTAGTGTGGACCTCAGGGAAAATGTATAGTTTGACCTACAGTATTAAAGTAAATACTTCTCAATGAAACTTTTCTGTACATTTAAAAAATTACAACATTTTGCCCAAAGCAAAGATAGCCTGAAGGCGTGTTGGAGAATTAATTTATTTATTTTGAGTTGTGATGTGTCAGTTTTGTGTGATCATGGGTTTTCATCAGTCATTTAGGCAGGGTTTGCGCAGTGTATTCACAGGGGTCTAATTTGTCCCTCTGGGCGCCTGTCAGTCATATCGCAGTGATTTATGTGTGTGTGTTTTTCCAGTAGAGGTCACTGTATCTTTATCAAAGTGTTCTGACAGATTGCATGAGCAGCTGTTGGAGTGTATATATCAAAAAGGATTCATCCTATTATGTTTCTTTACAACATGACATAATCAGCTAATGGCCAGGTGTACAAAACACAGCTTTTTTGCTTTTTCTTGTTGTTTTGTGAATCACTAGAATTTGATTGTGTTTTTGGCTGTACCTAAAACTAAAAAAACACATTTTTTCTTTGTAGTATACAGTAAATGTAGCCTAATAGAGAACAAGATCTGCTGTTGTTAGTTTTTAATTTAAATTTCATAGTCACACTTTATTTTAAGGTACAGTTAAAATCATTAGTAATGACTTTTAGCTTAATAAACTACTAATTTGCTGCTTAATAATAGTAAGGGAATAGCTGGGTTCAGATATTGGGTAGGATTTGAGATGTACAATAAGATCATAATTAATAAGGAATAAAAACAATAACTTTAAAGTGATAGTTCACCCAAAATGTAAAATTATGTCATAATTTACTCGTCCTTAACTTGTTTTAAACCTTTAAGAGTTTTTTTTTTCTGTTGGACTCATAAGAAGATATTTTGAAGATTGCTGAAAACCTGTAACCATTGACTTTAATAGTATTTGTTTTTTCTGCAATGGAAGTGGATCTTTACAGCTTTCTTTGAAATATCTACTTTTTTGTTTAACAGAAGAAACTAACTCAAAGGTTTGAAACAAGTTAATAGTGAGTAAATTTACATGTGAGGGGTGAACTATCCCTTAAATAATAAACAGTTAATAATCCAGCAGTAAATAGTGGGAAATGGTAATTGTGTTACCCATTTTTATTACTACACTGTAAAAAAATATCCTTAAATTAGCAGTTTTCCATATTTTGTGATTCATGTTTTTATTTTATTTATTTTTTAATTTTATTTTTTTATTTGCATTATGGCATCTTGATCTTTCTTCCAACAACTTTTAAACTCGAAAAGGTTGAAAAAGTGACTTTTGTGAACATTTTTAGTAGTTTGAAGGGATATGCTGTCTGGGATGGTGTTGTATATTACGCTACAAAAACCTGCCAGTACAACTTATTTCTCAATGCATTATTTCTTATACAATATATAATTTCAAATGACTAAATTGCCAATAAAAGTCACTTGGTTAAGGTTACTGCACACTTGAATCCAACATTTTCGTCCGTAATTTTTGTACGTTAAAACATAAATTCAACCTCTTGTTGTGTGACTCGTACTAACACACAGCCGAAAAAGCACTTTGAGAGGTGTTTAGATAGATCTGATCCACCGTTCAAGCGAAAAGTTTAATGCAAATTGCTGTCATTTGAGCTACATAAAACTACATAAAAGCTACAAACGCATTGCATAAAATAAAGACACCTCACCTGCTGCTGCTTGTGTGTGTGTGTGTGTGCGTGCGTGCGTGCGTGCGTGCGTGCGTGCGTGCGTGCGTGCATACTTTTGACGTACTGCCCATGGTCCTTTTTGGGTCCGTTTCTTCGACACGTCAGCGCAGCTGCCATCTATTAAAATGTCTAATGGTACTGTCAGTCTCTGTTCAGTATATGTTTACATACCTAATCATGTGAAGTATCATAAGCAATGTATCAAAATTCCACAGATTTCCTGAAATAAACTTTGCATTTTGGATATTTGTAGTGCAGCTCTGTGATAATGAGCTGAACTCTCTTTTTTCAATGTGATATTGGATGAACACCATATGTAGCCTATTCCTCCTTCTTTTTCTACTTTGGAGAAGAGAGGAGAACAAAGTACCAAGGCTTGAACCGACTGAGAAGTGTTTTGTGTTTTTTCGTAATGGATTGACTAATATGCATTGGATTCAGTGTGCAAGGTTTGCTTACATGACAAATTTTTCTGCATATGAATAGGAAGAAACGCATAGGAATATTTTGGACTTCAGTGTGCAAAGACCTTGAAACTGTAGAGTTGAATTTTCAACATCAAAAGTCGACAGAAAAGAGATCAAGCTCACATAATGCAAAAAAACTGTTAATCGAAAGATATTTTTTTACAGTGTAGGGGAGCGCAGGGCACTAAGGCCCAATCCCAATACTTTTTATTTACACAGTGGCCATATTCATCCATGTAAACAGACGAAAAACAACATTAACATTATACCAGACACTGTGAAAAGGTCATTCTAAGAGGCTAGGCTTTTCTGACAGGGTATTCGAGTGTCATTGAGTGTCAAAATATTGTAGGACTGCTATACAGGAGTTATTATTAGGGATTATAGATCGCAAAGTTTAGCGGTTTTTATTTTAGCTTTTTTTTTTTTTTTTTGCAGTAAAACATGAACACAGTTATAAATATATTAAAACATATGTTTGTTTGTTGTACAAATTCGTAATAATAAAAAATATACTAATTTGTGGATCTCCTTTCTTCCGGGTGCAGCTGTAGCTGATGTATTCTTGGAAATTTTCTTACCCCACGGTTTCAAGTGTGGTCCTGAAAAATCTTTGTTCGAAGGGGTGTATACCACTTACCCTTAGCCCTACACCTTCAAGCAAAAGAGAATTGGGACACCCCTACCGCTTCGCAGGAACGCGCAAAATGAGGGGTAGGGTTAAGGAAAAGGGCTAAGGGGTAGAATTGGGATTGGGCCAAAGTAATGTGGGGTAAAATGTAACACAGAGTATTAAGGAATTTGCCCAGGGTTAACCATGGCATGCTTTCAAGGTTTTCACCACAATGTCGGCAGACGTCTTCCTGCCAATAATTGAAAATGTTTGGTGAAATTTGGATGAGAAACAGAGCAGAAACCATTTTTGCAGCATAAAAGCATTTTTATTATAGTCAATATTGTTTTATTTTAACAAAATCTATGAATGTATAAACGTAAAATCTTATGTTGATGTGATTACTGTCTTCTAGGCTTAAAGATGGAACGATTTTGAAAGATGTAAAAAAAAAAACAGTGACTGCTAGCCAGTTTTGAGAAAACACGACACAGCGAGGTTAGTTGTAACAGGGTGTTACAAATAAGCAACAAACTGTTGGACACCAACTAAACTAACAAAATAAATGTTGAATTTTGAGTGTAATGTTAAAAAACTTTTAAAATGAAAAGTTTTCTTGATAGAAAATATGTTTAATAGACAAAAAAAATATTTTATTGCTAATACTACAAATAAATGCATTGTATAATAATGGATAATAATTCAAATAAATCCAAATGTGTTTATCCAATAAACAAATAAACATACTGTGCTATGTAGAATAAAAAAATAAATTGAGCTAAGTACTGAGAAAAATAGCTACTTTTTAAAGTAAACTGGATTAAAATTAATTGTGTGAAATCTGCTGTTTACAACTTTAATAGTAACATTTATACTCCAAGCATTTTTGGGAAGCATTTTTGCTGCACAGAAATCTCCCGATCATACAACCAGTGCTCATTTGTAGAAGAGGCTTGTGTGTTGTTGGTAAAATACAAATGGTTTGTCTAACCCCATTACTTTGTTCATTGACCAAAAAGTGTTACTTTGTGCTGCGCTCTCCCCTACTGTTGTACCACAATCCTAAGTAGTGAATACGTTCAAAGCTGGAGGGCTGAAAATGCAAGTTGTTTAGTTTTGGAAGGGAGTCTGACAAAACATTTCTTTGGAGACTGTTGTAAAGTTTATCAGATGAATGAGATGATATTAGTATATCTATACTTCCATTGGATTTCCAGAAATTGTCACATATGTATGGCAAGAGGGTGGCAGACCAAATGTTGAACCATATGCACAAGAGGAAAGATTTCTCAACCTTTCCACACATATCATTTGGCCAGAAAGGACAATTTCTGTGCGGCTGTGGTGTCAGTGGGAACAGTGAAGCGGGTTAGCGTGGAGTGATATCTGACTGACCTATGCAAACATTCTCATCGTCCAACTCGGCCGAAGCATTCCGGAAGTATCCGAGGCGGCAGTGCTGACAGTTCTGCCCTCGAGTGTTGTGTTTGCAGCTCACACAAGTCACAATGTTGATGAAATCAATGTAACTGCAGCGATTTGAGTGACCGTTGCACTCGCAGTCTGATGGAGAAAGAGTAGATACAGTAAGGTGTTAGTCCATGGATCAGAAACAAGGGAGAGAGAGAGAGGAAGGGGAAAAGACACTCATGAATGAGAGGACATGGGTATGATTGTAGACTATAAACTTGGCCTTATTTAGCTGAAGACCTATAAAAATCAAAGAACTATTTTGAAGTTCACCATTCACCAAGCCCGTTTTAGAGATGTTACAGACCAGTCTACCTTAGCGACTGCTGTCATGCACATGCACGTTGCTTTTATTTATTTTGAATCTATAAAGCAATTTCACTGATAATTTCAGCACTTGATGGGTCTAAACTACTGTGTGTGTAACATTAATTCTCACATCAACTTGTGTGACACAATTGCTTAAAATAAATCAATGCTAATAACTACTCTATTGCTAATAAGCTCTATCAATGCTAATAAGCTTTATTTACACCTGGTTTTCACAAATAGTCATCTGAGATGCATTATCATTTCTTCCACTGGCATACTTTCAACTGGGTTTCTTCATACTAATACACTTCCTGACAAAAGTCTTGTCGCCCTATCCAAGTTTTAGGAACAACAAATAATAACTTGACTTCTAGCTGATCATTTGGTATTAGAGGTGGCTTATTAGAAAGGTAAAGGCTTCAAGATTACGCTTATTTTACCACAATAAAATATATGATCATGATTTTTAATTATTTGAGACTTCCGGTATGATAGCGGAGTAAGAAGTCGCACGTTTCAGCTATGAATATTACTTTCAATCATTTTGATTAATCTGAGTTCTCTACACGCATTAAGTGCATCTGATGTTTTAAATAAGAGTAATAAGACATTGTGACAGCGCTTACAAACAAATATGCCGAGAGGTAATACAAAAAAAGAACACTGAAATAACTGAGGAGGATAACGTGCAAGAGGCGGATACGGCGACTTCGACACAGGGAGACGATATCCACAAGCTTCTTGGAGGCATCAAATCAGAGGTCACATTGCTCAGAGCGGAGATTGTTTCCGAGTTAAAAAAACTCAATTTCAGCTGTGAAAGCATCACTGCAAACCCGTGGGGAAAAACTGAAAGAAGTCAAGGAATCATTAACCGGTTTAGATGGCCGCGTCAATTCTTTGGAAACTGCATGCACAGCTTTGACCAAAGACAATGAACAAATGAAAATGAAACTAGACGACTTAAAAAAATCGCTCAAGAAGGAACAACGTGAGAATAATTGGCATTCCTAAGCACACTGAGGGTGCGCGTCCAACCACATTTATTAAAGAACTTCTACCTAAAGTATTCGGGAAGGAGAGTTTTCCTAAGCCCCCGGTGCTGGATAGAGCGCATTGCTCCCAGGCTCCAGTACCAAAGTCAAAAGAACCCCGTAGACCCTTTATTGTTCGAATTTACCACTTCCAGACGATGGAACTGATTCTTAGACTCGAATGATGTTCAATTGTTTAATTAGGACAGTAAGGTCTGACTTTGCTTAGACAAAAGCCTTGTCACTTAACAGAAATACTGTACAGTATAGAATATAAAGTCATAGTGAAGTAGAAACAGAATGAATATTGTGTATGACTCCCATGAGCTTGGACGACTGCATCCATACATCTCTGCAATGACTCAATTACTCAATAACTTATTAATAAAGTCATCTAGAATGGCAAAGACAGCGTTCTTGCAGGACTCCCAGAGTTCATCAAGATTCTTTTACAATCATCTTCAGTGCATCTTCCATCTTACCCCAGACATGCTCAATGATGTTCATTTCTGGTGACTGGGCTGGCCAATCCTGGAGCACCTTGCCCTTCTTTGCTCTCAGGAACTTTGATGTGGAGGTTGAAGTATGAGAAGGAGCACTATGCTGCTGAAGAACTTGCCCTCTCCTGTGGTTTGTAATGTAATGGTCAGCACAAATGTCTTGATACCTCAGGCTGTTGATGTTGTCATTTACTCTGCAGATCTCTTGCACGCCCCCATACTGAATGTAACCCCTAACCATGATTTTTCCTTCACCAAACTAGACTGATTTCTTTGAGAATCCTGGGTCATATGGGTTCCCATAGGTCTTCTGCGGTATTTGTGATGATTGGGATGCAGTTCAACAGATCATTCATCAGAAAAAAATATACCTTCTGCCACTTTTCCAAATAATCAATTATAAGTCAAGTTATTATTTGTTGCTTTTACAACTGGGATTGACGACAAGACTTTTGTCAGGTAGTGTAATTGCTTTAGCATGTTTTTTGGGACTCTTTCTTCTTATTTCCATATCATTTATATCATGCTCAGTGCGACATGTCATTGCAGCACTATCATAATCCACGCCTTTTGGTATAATAAGTGAAGTGTCCTATAAGATGTCTTGACAATCAGGTGTTTTTTTTTGTTTTTTTTTTTGACTGCTTGAATACATTTAAATGTGAGTGTTTACACTGCAAAAGTAATCCAATAAAAGCTTTAAAAGTGATTGTTTGGAGTTGGTTACTATTGAACACAAGGGAAGATATTACATTTATATATTTATTTTATTTCTTTACTATGGATGTAAGTGGTTACTGGTTTTCAACATTTTTCAAAATATCTTCTTTTGTTTTTTTAAAAGAAACAGAAAGTCATAAAAGTTTGAATCCGCTTTAGTGAGTGAGTACAGTTTTGTTAAGTGAACTCTCCCTTTAATTGGATTTTTTTTTTAAATGTCCCAGAAAATGTTGCAAGTGGGGCCATTGAAATACTTGCAGAAATATTAGGACAGTTTGGTCGATTAATGATAATATGACTGCATTTGCCTAAATTCTGATGTACTCTTTTTCGTTTTTCATCATTGTATAGTGTAATTTAAAGAAATGCCAAATAAAAATGGCTTGCAATGTAATCTATTCAGCCCAACTGGGAATAATAATATCCAATCATTTTTTACCACTTTGTGAACTCATTGTGCTGAAAATTACACTGCTGATGGAAATCTCCAGTACATTCCTGTGGGAAGGACTGTAAAGCTTGTCTGAGTCAGCAACAGCAAACCACCAAGGTGGATGGAGGAAGGGTCAACCCTGGATCAGAAATGGCCAGTGTGATAGCCTACACTGCAAAAATATCCATAAATTAGCAGTTTTCTGTATTTGGTGATTCATGTTTTTATTTGTTATTTTTCCCCATTAATTTACACTTTATGCTTATACTTCTTCCAATAACATTTAACCCTGAAACGTTTGAAAAAGTGACTTTTATTAACGTTTTTAATAGTTTAAAGTGATATATTTTCTGGATTGGTGTTGTTCATTATGGTACAAAAACCTGCTAATAAACTATCAGCAGATTTTCTGTTATTTTACAGACTTACTTCTCTATACTTTATATTGTTTCTAATACATTATATTAGTTCAAACTACTAAAATCTTAGTAAAAGTCACTTTGTTAACTGTAGCGGTTACTTTTTACCATCAAAAGTTGACAGAGATTAAGGTCCCATAATGCAATTCACAACAGTAAATAAATGGAAAACACTTGGGAATCACAAAATACGGAAACCGTTTATTTACAGATATTTTATGCAGTGTAGATCTAGTCTCCCTTTTAATATTTGTGCTAAATGATTTAACACAATTAATTTAAGCCACTTATACTTTAAAGGGGTAGTTCACGCCAAAATCAAAATTGTCATAATTTACTCGCATTTATCTTGTTCAAAACCTATTTAACCTAATAACAACTAAAAGAAGATATTATGTAAAATGATGCTTTATGAGACCCATTTACATCAATGTTTTTTTGTTTTTTTTGCATACTATAGAAGTTAATGGGTTCCAGCAACCAACATTCTTTAAAATAACTAATTTTGTGTTCAATAAAAGAAAAAAATAATAAAGATTTTGTTATTGTTATTAAGCCTATTATTAGGAAACAACAACTTGATCCCAGCAACATAGCTAACTATAGGCCTATTTTAAATCTTCCATTTATGTCTAAAATACTAGGAATAAATTGTTCCTGCTCAATTATACTCCTTTCTACAGATGAACAATGTTCTTGAAGTTTTTCAGTCAGGTTTCAGGCCTCATCACAGTACGGAAATCGTGTTGGTGAAAGTAACTAATGATTTACTTTTAGCTGCTGCACAGAGGCTGCATCTCATTACTAGTTTTACTTGACTTCAGTGCTGCATTTGACACTTTTGATCATGATATCATCATTGATCGCTTACATTTTACAGTTGTCTAAGGACAAGCTTTATAATAGTTTGTCAAACTTAACTGATCATTTCCTGTTTGTAAATATAAATGGAAGGCTTTCACTAGTCAACTGTAACTCTGAAAACTGGACTGACACAGTTTCAATTTCAATTTACTAGAACTTCTATGTTAAGCTGCTTTGACATAATCTGCATTTATAAATGCTTTATAAAAAAAAAGATGAATTGAATATATATATATGAATATGTATTTATATATATATATATATATATATATATATATATATATATATATATATATATATATATATTTGCAATCAGAATTATTATAAACTCCCTTTTGATTTTTGTTTTTTTAATATTTCCCAAATGATGTTTAACAGAGCAAGGAAATTTTTACAGTATGTCTGATAATATTTTTCTTCTTGAGAAAGTCTTATTTGTTTTATTTCGGCTAGAATAAAAGTGGCTTTTAATTTTTTTAAAACCATTTTAAGGTCAATATTAATAGCCCCTTTAAGCTATTTGTCCCGATAGTTTACAGAATAAACCATCTGCAATGACTTGCCTAATTACCCTAACCTGCCTCATTAACCTAGTTTAGCCTTTAAATTTCACTTTAAGCTGTATTGAAGTGTCTTGAAAAAAATTCTAGTAAAATATTATTTACTGTCATCATGGCAAAGAAAAAAGAATTGTCATTATAAATGAGTTATTAAAACTATTATGAAACCTATTAACATCTATATATTTTTTATACTATAGAAGTTGATGGGTTCCAGCAACTCGCTATAATTATTCAGGGGGTTAAAGAATTCTAATTGCAAATATAGAAACTTTATCTGTAGATGCTGTCAGAATATTCATACATGAATATTATCTTCACATGCCAGACTCTTCATTTGACCTACTTGTTGGTGAGGCTGATTATTCAGATGTTATGTAAAATCCTTTTTTTAATAGTGAATTATTTCTCAGTAAATTAAATTTTAAAGACACTTGGAGTGTTTAACATAGCACAGTCATAACATTTAGACAACCCAAAGCAATCTTACTTTATCGAACAGTGGTAAGTCTTAGTTATTAGGCCTCAGTTCAACATTATCACGACACTCATAAACACAGATAATGAGCTGCAGTTACAGATGTGTTTGAGAAGCTGTGCTTTTTTTCCGATTCTTTGCTGTTTGGACACTTGGGGCTTTGAATAATTGATAGCATGTTTTAAAGATGCTGGCGACGTGGGGTCCTGCTGTGTCACAGTCAGCTAAGCAGTGGGACAGGGGGCAAGAGCAGCTAATTAAATATAAATGCTCAATTACTTCCCAGATTGGCGAAGGGATGGAGCGATGTTTCACAAACGATCTCGCATCTTCAGCAGACAGCTGTTTAACACTCGACAAGTAGAAAATGCAAAGTAGCTCGTTTCTAGAGGAGGACACTTTTGATTATACAGCCTGGGGGAGATCCTTCTGTTTTCTAGCAAACACAATACATCATAAGCCGCTTACCTTATGAGACAAAGCAAAAAAACAACAGCATGCCAGCACAAAGAAAGGAGAAAGACAAGAAAGGGTGACATGGAAGGAAGAGAGGAAATAAATAACATTTAGGCAGCAGTTTTTTTTCCACAGTTTCCATATTAGTGTCTGTCCACATTCTCCGAAACAGAAATCAAAACCCAATTGTCCTTTGATAAGCATTGCCTACAGGAGCGCTAATGCATATAAATACATCATTCATATGAAGTGTCACTGAAACCCAGAAAACAATTTCTTTTTTTGCCATCTTGATCATTTAAAGCACTGTCTTACCTTGAAATTTGATGTACGCTATTCGTGACAACTGTGTTTTGGGCCCTCCGGGGATCAAAATCCTTGCAACAACTTTGGAATAAAAGCAACGTTAAGCACTAGTTGGCTAATACTACTATATAAATCGCTGAACAGTGTGGAAAAGTTAACTGTAAGGGCTGAAACTAAATACACTGATACTTAAGAAAACTTACACTGTAAACAAAATCGCCTAAAACTGAAGGAAAGCAGGGTTTCGAGTTTCTAAGACCTAATGGCAGCTAAACCGATCAATACACTACAAGCTGTAAATGTTCTTCACCAACAGATACTCCATCTCATCCATAGCAACATTACTGGAAGGTACAGTACAATGCATTCGAGCATAAATGCACTTCCAGACCACAGACGTTTAAAAAGCTAGCTGTTGTGTCGGATGAGTGCAATATCGGTTTGTTTCTAGAATCTAGCTACTCACAGCACAAGCAGTCCACTATGTGTATACCTTTTTTCTCATACTCTTTAAACTCCTTTTCTTTGTGCTTTTCTTTCTCTTTCTTTTCCTCCTTGGCTTCTTTGCTCTTTTCGGTTTTCTCCGCTTCTCTGGTTTTGTCCAGTTTGTCGTTCTTAATGTCACCAGACACTGTTTACACCAGAGAGATTGTGAGTATTTGAGAAAATAAAACACACAAGCATCACAAAGCATTATTTTTAATTTGATTTTATTCATCGTTCAAATCAAATTCACTCTCTTGGCAATATCAGAATAATCAAAAACAAACACTGAAGATATAATTAATGGCTGCTGAACTGCGGATTATAGTATTTCACGATTTTAATGTTAATCATACTAAAAAAAATATAGAGCTTTGGTAAGAATCTTTCAATGAATAGAAATGAATAAAATTGTTTATGTTCTTTTTCCCTGTTTAGAATATATCTGAGACTTTAATTGTCATTTATAAGGGATTTATAAAGCATAAATTGTCTTACTTTAGATTAGGTCACAAAACTGGATGAAGCTGAGGTAATAAAGCATCTATGAACATACATATGAACTAGTAGTACTGTATATGCCTGAATAATAAGAATTATAAATGTTAATTAGAATAATTTATTAAAATGTACCTACCCAATCAGCATGTACTTAAAAAAAAGACACCAACTATGCTTAAATAACTGGTTTGTAAATAATGCAACACTTAATTTAGGGTGTCACTTTATTTTGATGGTCTCTAATGCATTTTGTTAAATTTAAGTTACATTGCATCTACATGCCAACTAATTCTCAAGAGATTATAAGTGAACTGTTAGGCTGGGGTTGGGGTTATGGTTAGTGTACAGTAAGTTGACGTACTTGCAAAAATTCATATAATCAGTTAAATGTTGAAGAAGCAGTGTCAACAGATATTAAGCAGACAGTCTACTAATACTCAAATGAGAGGTAATTGGTATGTAGTTGCAATGCAACTTTTAGTCAATAAAATGTGCAATAGGGACCATCAAAATAAAGTCTTACCTAATTTAGTAATGAAAAAATAATTCTTAACACAATAATCAGTATAAAAACACAATTGAGCACATTACACATGTGCTTAAAAGTCAAGAATACAGCGGTATTTATAAACTGCTAACTAATGTCTATTAATGTAGACGGAATGCTTAACAAATAATAAATTCACTATTTGCTCATGCCTAATAAATGGTTCATAGTGAAGTACTTATTATAAAGTGTTACCAAAAACTTCTAAAACTTTTGTGGTTTGTTTAAAAAGTATAAGTGGGTTGTTCACAAGAAATGACAACTCTGTCATTATTTCTTCATACTTCAGTGATTCTGAAGACATAGGATGACTGTGTTCTTCTGTGGAAAAGAATTCAAAAGATCTTATTTATCTGTGTAGAATATTCCAAAAACGCTGTCATGTGGAGTAACGTCAACCTCTGAGTTCCACAGAAGAAAGTAAGTCTAACAGGTTTGAAAAGACATGATGCTGAGTAAATGATGACATATTCATTTACAATTCCGCTCAGAGCGAAGGCGTTTGCTTACTGTGTTGGAGGCAATTTTGGTTGTGTGACAAACTTCCATGAATTGTGCTCGATATGTAACATTTGAGCTGCTTTTAATGTGTATTATTGTGTATATAATTGTTAGAGAATTCAGATGTCAGAATTTCTGTGGATACCTGAGGCTTCTGCATCTTTATCTTTCTTCTCCGAATTTAAAGCTGTTTTCGATTCCTTGGACTCTTCGCTGTTTTCTCCTACTTTGGATAAAGGTTTACGATCAGGGGCATCTTTATCTTTCTTTTCTAAATTCTTTATCTCTTTTTTCTCCTTGGTTTCAGCAATAGGAAGTTCACTCTTCTCCCCTACTTCAGATGAAAGTTTAATATCAGGGGTGTTGTTATCTTTCTTCTCCAAATTTGTTTCGGGTTTTTCCATTTTGGGTTCTTCACTGTTTTCTCTTACTTTGAATGGAGGTTTACTGTCGGAAGCATCTTCATCTTTCTTTGTTGTTTTTTCCTCCTTGGTCTCAACAAGAGGATCTTCATTCTTCTCTTCTATTTCAGGAGAAGTTTTAACGTCAAGAGTATCTTTATCATCCAGCTTGGTTGACGGTTTATCCTCCGTGGTCTCACCGAGAGGAACTTCACTCTTCTCTTCTACTTCAGATGAAGGTTTAATGTCAGGAGTATCTTTATCCTCATTCTCAACATTTGTTTTCTGTTTTTCCTCCTGGATCTCAACAGGAAGATCTTCCATCTTCTCTTCTACTTCAGATGGAAGTTTAATGTCAGAAGCATCTTTATCTTCATTTTCCAAATTTGTAGCTGTTTCTTTTTCTTTGATCTCAACAAGAGGAACGTCACGTTTCTCTTCTACTTCAGATGAAGGTTTAATGTCAGGAGCATCTTCATCTTCATTGACCAAATCTGTTTCCGTTTTATCCTCCTTGATCTCAACGAGAAGCTCTTCAATCTTCTCTTCCACTTCAGAAGGAGCTTGAATCTCAGGAGTGTCTTTATCTTTGGCTTCTGTTTTTTCCTCCTTGGTCTCAGGTGGAGGTTTACTCTCAGGTGGAGGAGTAGCATCAGGCACTGGCTCACCTGTCAGAAGAGTTACACCCGATGTAGGCGAGTCTACGTCAGTGCTGACTGTTTCTTCACTTCTCATGACGACTTCAGCACCATCACCCGGACCTTCAGGAGCTGCTTTGGTTTCATCTGACACATTTGTAACTTCTGCATCCTCATCAGTTTCAAGAGCCACAGCAGCAGTGGCAGGAGCATCTGCATCTCTTGCAGGTGCAATAGAACCAGCCTCTGGTGCAGGAGCATCTGTTATAGTGGGGTCAGCATCAATTACAGGTGCATCTCTATCTGATGGAGAAGGTAAAGGAACACTAGTTGCTGAGACGACCACATCAATGTCTGGAGGGAGTTCATCAACTGTTTTCATTGTTGCATCAGTTGAAGGAACAGCTGCCATATTTTCTGAACCCGCTGTACTGGTTTCCACTGGAGGTGAAACTGCATCATTAGAAGGAGATGTTGGCAGCTGAATAGTGTTATCTGATGTTGTTTCAGAAGTTGCCATGGTTACAGAAGGTGTTGTTGCCATGGTTGCTCGGATGACCATATTAAGTGTTGTTGCAGTGGCATCAGATGATGAAGCAAGTGCATCAGTAACCTCAGGAAGAGCAGATCGTGGATTGCTTGCACCAAAGGCAGTTGTTGCAAAGACGGTGTCAGTTGCTGTGGTGGCTGCATCGGGTATCACATCTGGTGCTGCGGAAACTGTAATTGTGGACAGAATATAAAGAGTCAGATATCTAAACCGTTCAGTCAAAAGCAGTAAATATGCCTATGGATGCCATTGCTGCCCTTAGGGCTTACATTCCGTACATAATAGATGTTATTGCAGCGATTCAACCTTTCGCCATTTCCAGTTCAGCAGAAACGGGATACACGAGCCCTGATAGAATCACTTCCTGCCCGTGCCCCCGTACAAGCGTTCAAGGACAGGACTCGCTGCGCTTTCCTGTTATGGTTTCATGTATCTATCTCTCTCTCCGTAAGTTCAATAAATTGGACCCTTTTTGGTCTTCCTTACCATGACCCGGTCTCTTTTCTCTTATGAAATATTTAGCAGCTGTTCATTCAATCGCTATTCAAAAATAGATCTGAAAGAATTGAGCTTCGGCCTTCAGCTGAGCTCCTACCGCCACGCCATGTGCTCTCCAAAGTGATTGTGTTTCACAATAACAGAGTATTTAATGATTTATCTCCTGAGGCTTGGCTTGCCATTTTCATAGTTACAGCTTCAGCAGCGTTAGGTTCGAAAGGTGGATGCTACTCGCACCTGGTGTTAGAAGCAGAAATGGTATGATAGGTAAGGCGCTGGCATATTGTTTTGATTACACAAAGCGAAAAAAAGTCACAACTGCTTTGTAGTCAACAAAACTGAACACCTGCTTGTAAGAAAAACATACTGCTAAAAAATACAATAAACCAGCATATGCTCATTGTATATATATATATATATATATACACATTAACGGATGTGTAATGGATCTATTGTTGTTTTTGACACGGATCGGAACATTTTTCGGATCAGCTAAAAATAGAAGACAAATGTAATTTACTTTCCATTTAATTACAAAAACAGTACTGCAAGAAACTTTTGGTTTCATAAAATAAAAATAATAAATAATCAGCTGAATAAAAATAAATTGTAAAATATTCAGTACTGCAAAAATTCACAGTTACTACTACTGTTGCTGATTTACGCTAAATGTAGAAATCATAAGAACACTAAAATTTGATACAAGCCATATTTATTTTTAGTCAAATTTTTCAGTAAACAATTCAGTTATTTACTCGTAAAACTTCATGTTTCATTGCTAGATGTGTAATTATTCAGTGGGATATTTTTGATGGCTGGATGTCGCCTACAATTGGTTAACTATTGTAATTGCTGCCAAAAATATTCTTTTGAGCGTCAAGTTAAAAGCAAATGACAGTGATTTTAATCTTTACCATAAACATCAATGGTTTTATCTAATTTATAAACTGTTATCCCAGTACTTCTGTGTTATTTGACTATTTATACAGTAACTTCATAACTAACTCAAAAGACTGAAGACTGAATCTCTTGAGTTTTGTGTTTTTCAAACACATTTGAATGCAGCGATTGTAAGCATTAATAAACCTATGCAAATCGCCATCATTTATTATTTTTGTTGCGTGGGATCCTGATCTTCTAATAATTGCTTGTGCAGCTTACACTGAATGCCTTAATGCAGGCTAAACAAGCAGTATCAGATAACAACTTTAATAACATAAGAAATCCACCATATCCCAAATAACCTACCACAACTTCTTCGATCATCATTATATTTTACAGGAAAGCCTAAATGCTTTCATACATGTGGTTTAAATGATGTGGGCGTCGATCTCTCTGCAATCGTTACAAATTTAGGATTAATCTACAAAAAAAAAATGTATTAGCCTAATCCATGGGACACATGTGTTCCGAACCATGGGTTGGTATCCGTACGAATCAAGATGATTTGTTACACCCCTTTTATTTTTATATATATTAGCATCTTCACCTTATAATGTTTTTAAAATGACTTGAAATATTAAGCAAAACTAAATAATAATAAAAAAAATATATATTAATGAAGTTCATTCATGTTCTTTCTATTTCAAAGAATTATCTTATATTTTCTGGCCTATTATTATTATTATTATTATTACTATTATTATTTCATATTATTTTATTGTAGGTTTATTGTTGAATCCAAAATGATAATAAATGAAAACAATTCACTCAAATATAACTACCTCATCATTTTGGCCGCATTTACACTGCACTGTTCAAGTGACTCAATTCCGAATTTTTTATTTTTTATTTTTTTTCTCTTGTGGCACAAAATCGGATATGGCCCATGTACGTGTAAGCAGGAACAAATTACATGGATTCCGATTTACTTAAATCAGATTCAGGCCTTGTTCATATGTGGAAATTTATCCAATATGAATCGGATCTGTGCCGTCGTGTCTGCAGTGTAAGCAGGCAGATCGGGTTTTCATCTCTCAATGTGATTCGCACGTCATTAAAACCGTAGCAAATTATGTCAATTCTGACACTTTCATTTAAGAACAGACTTCAGCTGAGTCCTAAACCTTAAATCTCACACACAAGGACTTAAACAACTTTTGGATTCTCATATAGCAGAGAGTATTTAAGCATGTTCACGAGAGCGAGAGAGTGCAATGTCTGCCATGGACCAATAAACTAATATAAAACTAGTGCATAAATAACACCATGGACATTACATTAAGATGCCTAAAGGTTTAAAAAAAGTATATACATCAAAAGAAGATGGACAAATGAGAACCTTTCTGTCATAAACTAGAGTAAAGCAGCTTGTCAAAAGCTGCGAACAGATTACATACAGGAATAGAGAAAAGAAAACTCTTTAATTATCAGCTGTTAGTCAGCGCCCGCTTTTTCCTGGTCATTGCGCCTTTGCCGTGTGCTGTGTAAATGCACACGATCGGATACGAGTCACTTTTAAAAGAAGCAGGTCAGCAAAAAAATCAGATGCAGTCACAAAATCGGAATTGACCATCAAGATCTGCAGTGTAAATGCAGCCTTTCTCTCTCGAGTGGTTTCAGGTAGTAGTTTTCATAGTAGGAAAAAAATACTATAGAAATCAATGAGTACCTGCAACCAACTTTTTAATAATGTCTTTTGTGTTCAACAATAGAAAAAAAAACAATAGGTTGCGAATAAAAAAGGGTGAGTAAATGATAGCAGAATTAATTTTTTATGAGCTTTCTCTTTAATACAATTAAGCTGTCAATACATGCATGCTGTTTATTGACACACAGGTTTATTTGCATTGTATCTCAAACCTCCTTTTAAGTCTACATGGTCTCATGTCCCCTTTTTTCAGCATCAAACATGTTTAAATCACTATGCAAGCCTCTGCCCTGCTGACTTCAACACTTGAGCAGCTATAAGTCTTGGGACATATAGCTTAAGCACATGCTATGTTACTTGCCACTTTGGCATATATATATCAATGAGTGATTTAGCTCAGCAGTAATCACATTTAATCTCTACGCCCTGCTGTACCTCGCATCAAAATATAGTGCACCATTACAGCCATCAGTCATGACTGGTATTACATTAGAGTGCTCCCTGCATGCACTGCTTTCCTCAAGGTCTTTTGTGTGGTAAAGGGAGAGCTAAGAAACACTTTCCCATGCCACTATTGAACTATTATGGGTGTATAATTGAGCAATCTAGCTTTTTGCTGTTGCATCTTGGAATAACATGTTTTATTCTTACTTCTTTTAGATGTCTTTAGTTAATTTACTTTAGATGTCTGATGTATTTCAGTGACAATTTAGTTTGGAAGCAGATTGAATCCCTTTCAGGTGTCTCAGGCTGCTTTTTTTGGTGTGCACCATAATTCAAATGGCATTGTTTAAACCTAATCTCACATTTAAACTAAACCTGCTGAGTAATTTGCTTCCTCATTGCATTGGTTTATTTGGCAACCCTGTCTATGGTGATGTACACTGACAGAAATCACACTTTGAACTTAAAAAAAAATACTGTAATTTGTTAAAACTAAAATGTTTAGTTTTTCTCAAAGTATAATTAAACTTTGACTCCAACTTTAAAAGTTAATTTCAAGAGTTCACACTCAGCTGATGATTGATCATAAAGTGTGTTGGGCATGCTGTCCTGGGAGAGAGCTCCCGAGCTCAGGTAGGTCTCGGGAACTCCTCTACATATTAATGGCTACTGGAAAATTAGAGATTGCTTAGGAGATATATACTGCTGATTAAGAGCTCATCTTTGGTGCCAACTTGGTTTGGTCAATTCACACGTCGCATGTCTTTGGACTGTGGGATGAACCCGGAAGAAACCCAAGCACGTGATCCTCTCAAAATTAGTTTATAAAAAAACTTCACCTAATCTTACTTTAAAAATATTCATTGTGCTCAAAAATGTTTATTGTGGAAAAAATACATTCACACAAACTAAAAAAAAGGTTACTATAAGGAGAGTAAATACTGTTTTTGTATGTGTGTGTGTGTGTGTGTGTGTGTATATATATATATATATATATATATATATATATATATATATATATATATATATATATATATATATATTCACTTTGGTTCAATGTCGATTTTTATTTTGGATATAATAATTATACCTTTTTGTACCCTAAGATCAAAATATAATTTTGCTTTGGACCATCCTAAAAACAAATACTAATAACGTAATTTGTTACAGCTAATTTATAAATATACACATTTTAATTTTGACATGATTGAAACTGAAAAATATTATTTATTATTATTCAAAATATTTATTCTTCCCAAGTAAAAAAAAAAATTCTCTCTAGGGTAAAATGTTGTTTTTATATACCATGAATTAATTGAATTACTTTAATTTAACTCCAAATCCAAGTAAAATTGTACTTTGGACTAAATAGATACTGTATGACGTTAGGCTAAGATATTGCTAGTTGTTTGTTTTTTTCAGTAATGAGGTAGACTATCTGCTAGTTCTTTCACTATCATCATGCAAGAGGGTAATCAAACTCACATTAAAATACATACAGTACTAATGTTTTTAAATTGTTCTAGGGGGGTTGTGTTAAGCAAGTTGAATAAACCAGTTCAAAATCAGAAACCATATTGGTCACTTAATCCAATACAAAAATGTACACTGAAAAAAAAAATGCTTTCTGCAAAATTGTTGCAAACAATTTATTTGTGTTGAATTTAAACAAACAAATACATTCAGTATTGTTCAACTTGTTTTGTTTGTTTAAATTTAGCCCAGATAAATTATTTACAGGCCCTTAACTTGAAATTTTTTAGTAAATCCAAGGAATCATTTTTGAGTGATTTTTTTTTTCACTGTACATTAAATAAAAGACACAGTACTGTAGTTTCCCTTTTTCAGTGTAACACCAGATAAATGCAAATAATTATTGAAAAATTGTACATAAATTTCAATACACATGCTTCATAATTTTTGCATTACACCTAAAACTAAAGGTTGTTTATTGTAAAAAAAATGGTTCATTGAAGAACATTTCTATTTCTTTAGATTGTTACAATGTTTACATTCATTTACTTTAGATTTTAGGCTTGGATTATATCTGATAAAAGTACGCCATCATACAGAGTCTACCAACATTGCTGTGTCACAAGCACTGTTGAATTAAAATGTATGGGAAATGCTGTCAGAAATGTTTTGTGTTCAAATGTGTTTTTAAAATTTGTTTGTTAATCGTTCAGCTCATTATAAACCCTGCATACAACGAAGACACACTAATTTAAAGGTTTTTAGGCACTGTTGAAAGCTTGTAAAGATTCAGCACACTTTCTAATAGAATAACTGTAATGTATGCATTCTCACAACCAGAAGGGCAAAAGAACAAAACTCAAAGTATGACTTTAAACATGCTCCCTGTTGAATATTTCACCTCTCTGTTATTAACACTAGTGAGACAGAATAAATGAAGAATGTCTAACCTAAATAGATGGACACATGCTTGCATATATTAAGCATGTCAAAGTTAAAAGGTCTTTGCGAACCCAGTTCTGATGGATGTTTCAAAAACTTATTGTCTTGAGCAAGACTGTCAAGAAACTGTGATTGTAGTAAGAAGTTGTCTTACCTGGCTGATCAGGTGTGGTGGGGATGACTGTGAGTGCTGGATTAGACGGAGATGGCATCGTAGTTAAAGTCGAGGTGTCTGTCTGGCTTGAGATGGTAGCAGCTGGCATTGTGGGCAGAAAGCTTGTCACAAGTAGCACTTGGGACAGTACAATTACAGCGAGAGCCGAGAGAGTAAGTAAAGAGGGCCAGATACCTCCTACTGTTAACACGTCTATTTTTAATTTTAGCTTTGGACAACATACTTGTACTTATGCAAACGAATACAAAGTCTGTAACAAGTGATGATGTCTTCATCTAGCTACATTTGGTTGTATAATTTTCAGAATATCCGAAAGTTTAGAGCTCTTAGTTTTACTTTTCAATGACTATTATGAAATAGGGCTGCACTATATTTGATCAATCTAACATTTTCTTTGGAGTTGAACAGTATTGAGGTACAGAAATTAAATAATCAAATGTAAAAAAACACTATATAGTCTTCATTGTTAAAATAAATACATTTCATCTTTGCTAAAGCTGCAAACCCTATAACACCTTGTGGTTGCTTGAAATGTATCAGACGCAGAGCTTAGAAACTCCTCATGAAATCGTTCACTCTATTAGGGTTAAACTTTCCAATGTCTATATAAATATGCTCATTGTGGATTAGTTTCCCTATCTACATTTCTGGAGAGCGTAAATTATGTAGCCGGAGGTACATCTGGCTGCATTTTGTCTTTTCTGGTATTACCAGTTTGCCCAGTGGCTTGGCAGGTATGTCAGTGGACTTTGGACGCGGAGCAGAGTTGACCGCAATGACAGGGTTTGAGTCCGGCGAAAAACGATTCCAGAAACCAGATAATACAAAAGCAAAAAAATAAACAACAGGCTGAAAACATGGTAAAATCACGCGGCTGTGACGGCTTTTCTTTTTTTTAGATTGCTTTTGAAAACACTATTGGTTGGGTTTAGGGATGGGGTGTGTGGGTCAGTCAACAAAAAGCTGGCCTGGTAAACCGAAGTGTATATTGCACCCTCTGGTGGATTTATGCGTGAAGTAGGCGTTTGAAAAAAATTTGAGATCATCAAAAAGCGTACACAGCGGCCTCTGGTGGATTTTCAAAAACTGCGAGCAGACATACCTCCGGTTACATATTTTGCTGTCTGCAGAAATGTAGAACTGGGTATGTATCTGCAATGAGCCTGGGTTGCCAAATATTGTGTGTTCTGAGCTGTGGTTTCTGATTAATAGTCCGTACTCAATATAGTAGGTCCTGCTGACTAGGTTCCCACATTACAATATCAATGCTGATAGAATATATTGTGCAGCCCTATAAATTCAACTACAAAACTAAAAGTATTTAAAAAATCCCCGTTACAGACATACTACAATCCACTTAATGAACAGCAATGAAATGAACATTTAAATGGATACTTTCACGCAAAAAAAATTAATTTGCATTTGGCCATCGAAGATGTTTCTCTCACTTAAAAAATAAAGAGGATTTTTGCTGAATCCATGGTCCTTGATCAATCATAAAAGGCAGGTCAACAGCTACCAGAACTTTAAGAGTCACAAAACAAACCACAATACAATATCTATGAATCAAAATGTTTATTAAAATGATTCTTGTGTTAAACAAAAACATAATAAAAGATCAAATGTAAAGCCTTTTTTTTCTTTTTTTTTTACAAAACCTTACTCTATCAATGAGCCAGATATTAATTTTGCATTGCCTGCACTGAAAAAAAAATATTTGTTGGATTTACTAAATCTTTGGTGTGGTTGAGAACAATTTATATGGGCAGAATTTAAACAAACAAATTAAGTTGAACAATTTAATTTGTTTAAATTTAGCCGATATAAACTATTTGCAACCACCTACATTAAAAGAACTTAGTAAATCCAATTTATTATTTTTTTCATTGTACATTATTTATTTACTTTTTACTTTTAAAGTGCCAATTAGCCAGTCATTTCCATTTTATTAATCACCAAAGGTGACATTTGAAGTTAAAACAATTATCTGTAATGTTTAATTGAAGAAAAAAAATCTTGTATGGCCTGAGTGAGTAAATCAACAGCATATTTAGATTTTTGGAAAACTATACTTTGAAAGTCAACATGAAATCAAATGCAACCCCTATTAACTTTTATAGTTAATCCTATAAGAATTGCATCATATTATAATTATAAAGTATGTCTATTTTAGGGGATTGTAAATAGTGTACAGAACATTTAATTGCAAATTCAAAATTTCCTCCCTGACATTATCCTACAGATTTTGACAATTTGCTTAATTTGCTTTAAATCCTGCACATTTTAAGCTATTTCATCCTACATCTTCTCGCTGAACATCCTGCCATCATATTACCAAACTAAAAGGGGTTGCAAATGACATTTCATGTTGATTTCATGCAAAACAAGGAACTAGGAGTATCTATCTATCTATCTATCTATCTATCTATCTATCTATCTATCTATCTATCTATCTATCTATCTATCTAGCTATCTATCTAGCTATCTATCTATCTATCTATCTATCTATCTATCGTAAGATGCTAATGCAGTCTCTGCAAGTGTCACCTGGTGTATTGGTGAGGGATTCAGGGATGGCTGAGCCGCCTGCAGTCGATGTGTCGCTGGAGGTGGCCGTGTCTAGTCAGCAGACAGAAGGATGAGCTAGTCAGTGCAAGGATCAAATAGCATGACAGTATCGCCCATCAGACCCTAAATCAACCTGATCTCAGCTATTCGCTGACCACAAATAAAGGGCATCACTAAAGACACTATACTGCAGCCCGCAGCACTAAAAGGGACAAGCGCTAGAGAGGAACTCAGATAAGCAAGCTTTTCATGATGCATGCATATACAGTATACACAACACCAGAGGCTTATATACGTATAAGTCAAACTGCTATGTAAAATTTATTATAAAGGGGTGGTTGCACTAAATAGTACTTTTAACAATATTATGAAATGTCCTTCATGGTTAAAATGATCTCAATCAGAAGTTTTCATAGTGAACACATACACAAACATTAAAATACACACATTTCTGGCAGAATTTTTGATTGTGCATGCTCATTTGTAAATCTTTAGTAAATATATATAGATCTGTGTTACATATTTTATATGTCTTTTCTATAATTCATTTTAAATTGAAATATTTTTTGTCTTTCAGTTATTATACCAGGGGTCACCAACCTTTTTGAAACTGAGAACTACTTTTTGGGTATACAGATTAATGTGAAAGGCTACCAGTTTGATACACAATTCTCAAATAACAAATTTGCTCAATTTACTTGACTTGGGGAATTATATATCATTAATAATAATCAATGATATTCATCTATGTAAAGACACTGATCACGTTAATAATTTCTCACAACAGTGTCAACAGTGATTTAACAAGGTAAGAAATAGAGAAATATCAATAAAAATGTCTGCAAGTATTTACATTTTCAATTGGTCCCATCTACAATATTTTCACAAGCCACTAACATTTTTAACAAATCATGCTCTACGTTGTTCCATTTTTGTACAGATGATCAATTGTGTACCATAAATCAACTTTCAGATTTTACTAAAATGATCAAAAAATTACTAAATCTAAAGCATTTTTAACATAGCCGACACTCTTCTAACCATTGTAGTTCCCCCGAGTTGGACAGCAGACAGTTTTGCTTTACTATTTACACCAATGCAAGTGGGATTTAAAAATAATAGCTAAAAAATATTAGATGTAGCTTATTGGTAAGTGGCTATGGTGAATTATTTTTCAACTCATGTGATCCTCGTGGGGGATCTAGTGCCCGCAGGCACCATGTTGGTGACCCCTGTATTATACAGTATACCTAACAGCAAATGCTATACAATAATTTTCTTCATTCATTCGTTTTCCTTCAGCCTAAACCCCTATTTATCAGGGGTCGCCACAGCATAATGAACCGCCAACTATTCCAGCATATGTTTTGTGCAGCGGATGCCCTGTCATCTGCAGCCCAATACTGGGAAACGCCCATAAACAATCTCGCATTCATACACTACAGCCAATTTAGTTTATCCAATTCACCTATAGCGCATGTCTTTGGACTTGTGGGGAAAACCAAAACACCCGGATAAAACCCACGCGATCACAGGGAGAACATGTAAACTCCACACAGAAATGCCAACTGACCCACCTGGGACTCGAACCAGTGACCTTCTTGCTGTAAGGCAACAGTGCTTAATTGTAACTTAATTGTATTTACAAATTAAAGTGGATTGAACATAAAACAAACAAGTTGCCTCCAAGAAACCTTAAGAATTGTGTTGATTCAGCTCATTTTAAATAAGTAGCTTGAACAAGCCTCGACTTCTTCATTCAATTTATGCACAACTTGCTCTTACTTGAAGCTCTCCTCAATGCCAGCACAATGCTAATCACCTCCATCTATGCCTGTCTTCACAGTACAGTATGTCAAATTTGGAACGTGGCATTGGGCGTCTCGTCCATGTTAGCTTGTTTGCTGTTGTCTGCCTGTCGCAGTAGAAGCAGGTGTCTTCCCTCCACAAGAGGAATGACCATGTCAGCTCACACTGCGCCGGGGCTGATGGGAGTTTTGGGATTCAGCGTGGGCAGCCCACAGTGAGCACCGCAGCGGGCCGATGCTTCCTGCTCTCAGGCATGCTGATGTTTTATTAAGGTTGCGTCCCTCCCCAGCGCTTCATAATTAAAGCATGGCTGAAGACGCTGTTCCCTAATTCCACCACTTTATTGTATTTATAAGGTTTGCTAATGAAAACTGGCCTGCATTACCGATAGATGTTTTATTTAGTGTTGCGTCCGAGTGACATGGATAAAAATAATAGACGTCTCAGTCGCTCCATTAGAATTCAGCGCAAGATTCACTCAGGGATTTGTGTTCTCCGAGATTGGTTTTGCATTTTCATAATTATATAAAGCTGTTTATGTAAACTGTTAAAAGGGGACATATCATGGAAATTAGGGATTCACATTTCATTTTTTAAATGAAAGACTGTACTGATGTGCTTAATGATATATTGTAATGCAAAACGTCTTTCCTTAAAGATGATGGTGATGATGTAGAGTTATGGTGTTGATGATGTCCGCTCTAAACATACAGAACAACTTGAGGGTGAGTAAAGTATGATAGCATTTTAATTTGGGGTTTACGTTTAAAAATGCTGCATTAAAAGGTGATTCATATATGTGCAATGATCACAAAGCAAGTCATAAGTGTCCATTTTTGGAAATTGAGATTTAAATTTGAGATTTACATTTATCTAAAAGCTGAATCCACTTGTTAAGTGTAACGTCACGCGAAGCAGCAGATGGTATAATAAACATTTACAAAATGAATGAAAATCACGGTGGCAATATATGTCCATGCCTAATATCAGATATAAATTGTTAAAATATTGGTGTCTGTGATGCAGCAAGTCCAGACACTGTTGTGTACACCATGATTTCATAAAGAATTCACTTTAATGTGTGACCAAAAAGAGGTCATAAACAAATATTTTCTCAATTAAAATGAGTTGCAGCTTGGACCCAGAAACAATATTTCTTATGTCACGACTTAGCAAGCAGATCAGTTATATTTATGTAGGGGTTTTTTATTATTGGAAAATATTTGACTGAGATACAACAATGTGAATATCTGGAATCTGAGGGTTAAAACAATTCAAAACGCTGAGAAAAGTTAAGTTCTTAGCAAAAATGTTACTAATCAAAATTTGGGTTTGGATATATATTTGGTTGGAAATCTACTAAATATTTTCAAGGAATAAGACCTTCACCTTTTTGACAAAAGACTTTAAATTAAATGTTGTATTGGTTAAAGTGAAATAATGCATTTACTAACGTGAACAAACAATGAGCAATACATTTATTGCAGTATTTGTTTATGTTAGTTAACATTAGTTAAAGAAAATACAGTTGTTCATTGTTAGTTCATTTTAACAAATATGAATTTGGATGATTAATACATGCTGTATAGGTGTTGTACACTATTAGTTCATGTTACATTAACTAATGAAACCTTATTGTAAAGTCTGACCGATAAAAATATTATTTTGACCTGTACAGTTGGCTATTGCCAAAAAAATACCATGCAACATGTTTTGTGGTCCTAGGACACATTAGATAAACTGAGATTTACTCCCATGATTCTGAATAGACAGTTTAATATAAATAAATAAGAACATAGTAGTTAAGGCCACTTCATATAAAGTGGGGCCATTTTTTTCTTTAAATAAAATGTTGCTTTTTCTGTTACACTCTATTATCATACAATTGAATCTTTTTTTAAAATCTTGTTTAGGATAATGCTATAATAACTCATTCATAAAGAACCATTAGTAAATGAGTGAGCATTTTTTAAGATTTATTTTAACATTGCTCAGTGTCAAAATATTATAATAACCAACTATAAATTGTTATCCAAATACTGTTGTGAAAATGTGAATGTTTGTATGCAGATGTGATACTGGTTGTAGAGACTGAGGCAATACAGGCGTTCTCTGAGTCAAACAGTTTTTTAGTGAACTGCTATGCATTTGCTTAGTTTAAATTACAGAAGTCTGAAAGTCCAAGCTAAATAAAAATATTAATGTTAAGAGTGTAAAATTGTACTTAGGAGTCACAAAAAGGTGGTAGTAATAATGAAAACTAAATTACTTGGTTTAAAAAGCTATAAAAGTAGAGCTTGTATTCACATTATTGTATGATATATTTTAAATGAATTAATCAGGTTGTCATTTAGGGCAACACAGTGGCTCAGTTGGTTAGCACTGTCACCCCACAGCAAGAAGATCACTAGTTCGAGTCCCGGTTGGGTCAGTTGGCATTTTCTGTGTGGAGTGCATGTTCTCCTCGTGTTCGCGTGGGTTTTCCTACGGGTGCTCCGGTTTCCCCCACAGTCCGAAACTATGCGCTATAGGGGAATTGGGTAGATTAAATTGACCGTAGTGTATGTGTGTATGGATGTTTCCCAGTACTGGGTTGCAACTGGAAGGGCATCCGCTGTGTAAAACATATGCTGGATAAGTTGGCAGTTTATTCCACTGTGGTGACCCCTGATGTATAAAGCAAAAAATGAATGAATGAATGTTGTCATTTAATCTCATATACCGGGTTTGTCCTAAAAATGATGATTTCTTATTGTGTGTGAAATCTTGTTGATTCCATTCACACAAAATAATCTGGGAAGTATTATCATCCAGTGCCTTTTAACAGCCTACTAATCAAATTAGTGTCTTGCAGTGCAGTCATGCTTTCTAGCAAAAGAGTGCGTTTGTTGCTTGTGTGTGTGTGAGAGAGAGAGAGCACGAGGAACTCAGTCCAGGGCCAATGAGCAGAGAACGAGTAACAGGAGGGCAGGCATATGGCCACGGGGGGTTAACGTGAGAGCTGGAACACAGGCAGATTTCTCTCGTCCACCCCCCCCATCTGCCATCTGCCGTCGAACCAGACCAGAACCAAAAGAAAAACACAAGTAGAGAGTGACCCAGTCTACACTCCTCTCTAACGTCCACATTAGAACTCAACAGAAACAATGAAAGAGAGCTTGTTGCGAGGCTTGTGAATTAATGGCTCCGTTCCAAAATCTAGTAAGCTGACTATTTAAGGAACCATAAGCATGCTCCGGCTG